ATACATAATAAAAATTTAAAAAAATAAATACATAATCACAATTGAAACAGAGAAGTGTAACTGTGTGTGTGTGTGTGTGTGTGCTCATGTGACCACTACAGGACTTGACGTGGGCAGTATGGGAGATGGCCAGTCAATCTTAATAAGGGCACTCACTGTCTCAGACCCAGTCCTGGAGACTGCAGTACGCACAGAGTGAGCTATCAGGAAAGAACAATGGATGAAAAGAAGGAAAAGCAGGAGAATGTGAATCCAAGCATGAAGTAGAATCCATGAGTTCTATGCACGGATAGAAGCCACAGACCACATGAGAACACACACACATCACATACATGCACATACCTTATTGACCTTAGCCAGACTATATGGTCCAAAGGCTTTCCTGCGTTCTCCCCCTCTACCTGTATTGCATAATAGTATATTATTATATACTATATTATAAATTGTATAATGGTATCCCAATTCACCCATGATGGTCAGGACAGTCAGATCAGGCACTTCAGCCAGTACTTTGCCCGCCAGTGCAGAGTCCAAAGAGGCCAGATGGCAGCTTCAAGTACCATTTAACGGTGAACATATTTCTCTCACGGTAACCAAGAGCTCCGGGCCGAGCCGGGCGTTGGTGGCACACACCTTTAATCCCAGCACTTGGGAGGCAGAGGCAGGTGGATCTCTGTGAGTTCAAGGCCAGCCTGGTCTACATAGCCAGTTCCAGGACAGCCTCCAAAGCCACAGAGAAACCCTGTCTTGAAAAAAAAAAAAAAAAAAAGAGCTCCCGACCAGTACAGCTTCAGCTGCAGGGACGGGAAGTGAGCAGCTCACTACTAACTAGAGCTCATAATGGGAGGAGACATTCTTGTTTTGGTCCTTTGATGTATCTTGGCTGTGAGAGAACTATGGATGCTCACTCACAGGAGCACATACAGCGCATTGGAGGATAACACCCCAACTCTACCAACTATCCCCACCCAGCTGGTGCTGGGACCAAATGTTCAAAGACCCATTTAGCCATCTGCCAAGGCAGTCCCTTCTGGATGATAAGGAACATGGTGAGGATGAGGTCCATATGAATAAGCCAGTGGTTAATCATGATCGACAGGATTAGGAGTCACCATGGAAACACACTCTGGGTATGTGTATGAGGGTATTTCCAGAGAGGTTCAGGCAAGGAGGTAAGACCCACTCTGAATGTGAGTGCCACCTTCTACAGGCTGAGGTCCTGGGAGTGAGTAAAAGGAAGTAAGCCAGATGAACACTCACATCTGCTTCCCAAGCACAGGTGCAGTGTGACCAGGTGCTGTATGCTCCTACCACCCACCATTCTTCCGTGCCATGATAGACTGTGTGCTGGTTTGAAAGAAAATGGCCCCCAAAGGGAGTGACGCTATTAGGGGGTGTGGCCTTGCTGGAGGAAGTGTATCACTGTGGGGTTTGAGGTCTCTTTTGCTCAACTTCCCTCCATGTGGCAGTCAGTCAACTTCCTGTTGCCTGCAAGATGCAGCCCTCTCAGCTCCAGCACCACATCTGCCGGCACACTGCCATGCTCCCCATCATAATGATAATGGACTGAACCTCTGAAGCTGTAAGCAAGCCGCCTCAGTTAAATTTATAAACTTGCCATGGTCATGGTGTCTCTTCACAGCAATGGAAACCCTAACTTAAGGCAGACTGTACTCTGAAGCTGTCACAGCAATGGAAAATAACTAATACTGTTAGAATACACTACCGCATTTCTTCTGCTGTGCATGGCAGGGCTGTGGATGAGCATTCACTAAGTTCACAGATGGTAGTTCTGGCAGAAGTGGTGTGAGCAGGGATGGCAAATGTACATCCAGAGCAGGTGTTAACTCCAGAGAGAATAAAGCATCGCCTCTTCCATAACGAAAGTGGGCCAAGGTAATCAACCTCGCACTAGGTAGCTGGCTGAACCCCAGGTAATGGTAGAGAGACTTCTGCTGGCAGATGAGGCCCCCAGCAGTGGCTGTAGTCAGGTCGGTCAGCCTTGCTGAGTGGCAAGTCTATGACTAACCTCCACTGTCACCATAGCCACTTTGTTCGTGAGCTACCTGCCTGCAGGAATGCTGACAAGAGGCTGTCTGTTGTACACGGCATGGGTATGTACAGATCAGAGGTAATCTTACATACTACACAATATTACATCCTATACACTTGATTATTACAATCTTATTTTATCCTTGGGTAGGAATGCACAGGACATTTACACTCATGCTAGCTTCCTACATTTTCCTCAGATTTTGTCACTAGTGTTTCGGTTATGTTTCTTCAAGGGCCTGGGCTATCTAGTCAAATGAGGATTTGATAATAATCCATTTTTCTATCCATCTCCTTTCAAGTGAGGTGAAGCTGGTGCATGGAACCAGGTTCTACCCCCTGGGAGAATGGCCATCTTTCAGGGCTATCACAGAGGAAGCCTATGGCTGTTCAGCTTCAGGTGATGGAGGCCTGCCCAGGGTCAGGAATGCATAAATCAAGCCTGAGAGTTGCTTTCTCCAGTCAATGGATCTCAGGGAATTCCCTATGAAGGCATGCTTTGAAGTAGAGCCAATATAATAGACAGTGTTGTGTCTTACACAGTAATAAAATACCGCAGATTGGGGAATTTATAATCAAGTTTCTTCTTGTATTCACTGTTGCAGAGTATTAGTTTACAGTGTGAAGATGTGTCTTTGCCAAAGTGCCCTCTGATTGGTTTAATAAAGAGCTGAATGGCCAAAAGCTAGGCAGGAAGAAGTTAGGCAGGACTTCCAGGGACAGAGAGGCCTTGGGGAAGAAGAAAGGTGGGGTTGTCAGCCAGACACAGGGGAAGCAGGATGGGCAGCACAGAGTAAAGGTAACCGACCCATGGAAAAGAATGCAGATTAAAGGCTAAGGGTTAATTGAAGTTATAAGAGCTACTTAGGAGCAAGTTTAAGTTAAGCTTGAGCCTTCATAATTAATAAGTCTCCATGTCATTATTTGTAAGTTGGAGGCCAAAAGAAAAATTCTCCTACAATTCATCACAAAGACAGAACTAAGCTATGTATAGCATTGGCACATTCATGGTGGGAGCGTTCTCACACCCCACTAAAGGCTCCTCTTTCCAAGGCTGTCACAGAGGGAGCACTTGGCAACAAGAGCTTTAAAGAGGACATTCAAACCACAACAAGCAGGAATTGGGCCATGAGCAACTCTAGGAATTCAGTATAGGACCTCAAAGAGACTCACCTCCTTCAGCAAGGAAGGGCCAAAAAGGTTTGAAGTCACCAACTTCCTTAGACTTTACCTATATGACTGTTCTCATTATTTCTATTCTATTTGACTTTCTTTTGGGTACAGGAATTGAGCGCAGGGTCTCACCTGTGTTAAACACACACTTGAGTACATCTGCAGGAAACACTAACTTCCAACAGAAAAGACCCCTCCAAGCTGGCAATCCAGCGTTTTCAGTGATTTACCAGAGACTAACACTCAAGAGAGGGTTTCATGGCTGGGCGGTGGTGGTGCACGCCTTTAATCCCAGCACTCGGGAGGCAGAGGCAGGCGGATCTCTGTGAGTTCGAGGCCGGGCTGGACCGACAGCCTCCAAAACAATACAGAGAAATCCTGTCTCGTAAAAACCAAAAACAACAACAACAAAAAAGAGGGTTTCATGCTTACCTCTTTGGTTGTGGTTGGTTTTCTAAGACAGGGTTCCTTTGTGTAGCCCTCACTGTCCTAGAACTAGCACCATAGATCAGACTGGACTTGAACTCAGAGAGGTCTGCCTGCCTCTGCCTCTGGAGTGCTGGGACTAAAGGTGTGCACCACTATGGTTCACTGACTTATTTTAATCATGTGTCTATGTGTGTGTGTGTCACATATATGTAGGTACCCACAGAGGCCAGAGGTGGTGGATCCCCTGGAGTTACCGGCGGTTGTGAGCAGTCCTGACACAGATGCTGGGAATTGAACTCTGGTGTAGAGCAAATTCTAACTGGCCTTAATAATAAAAACCTGGAGTCAGATATTGGGGAAACTGCTGAACAATCAAAGTAAAGGAGCCAGCCACTAAGGTTCTTACCTCCATGAAATCCTCAGACTGAAAATGGGCGAACTCCTGTCTCCGTCTGCCTTACATCCCTCACTCTGCTCAGCCATGTCACTTCCCGAACTCCTGTCTCCGTCTGCCTTACATTCCTCACTCTGCTCAGCCATGTCACTTCCTGTTTCCTCCTCCTTAGTGCTGGGACCAAAGGCATGAGATCCCAAGTACTGGGATTAAAGGTGTGTGCCCCTGTCTGGCCTCTGTGCCTAACCAGTGGGTAGTTCTGCACTCTGATCTCCAGGCAAGCTTGGATAGAGCTCAAACAAAATCTCACCACTCTGGTCCTTCTGGAAGAGCAATACATGCTCTTAATTGCTGAGCCATCTCTCCAGCCTATGGGGATTTTGTTTTTGTTTTTGGTTTTTTTTTTTTCGAGACAGGGTTTCTCTGTAGCTTTGGGCCTATGGGGACTTTTAAGGGATCCTCAGGAGTTGCTTCTTTCCTGTAACAACAAATACAAAGTGAAGGCAGCAGGAGAAAGGGGATGAGTGTGCAGGCTGGATCCAGCATAGCCTTCTAATGGTCTCTCCAAGGGGCGCGAGAGACTCCAGAACAGTGAGCCCCAGGGAGAGGAGTCTGGCCACGGCCCTCTGAAAACACTGCTGAGATCTGTGAGGAAGCCCCCATGTTCTCCAGGCAGAGCTGGGTTTGCTGTCCAAGACTGTCGTGGAAGCTACTTGATCACTTATTCAGAACTCAAGTTGTGAGCTTCTCATCTTCATTTGAAAGGAAAGTGGAAACCATTTGACCAAACATTTATCCTTCCGCAAGTTTACCAGAGGGAAATGAAGTGTGCATAAAACTATTAGCTATTAGGGTGACTCAGCAGAGTGCCATCCACAATAGGGACAAACTAGACACACTCTAGGGAAACAATTAGGAAGGTGTGATCACAAAATAGAATTTTCGGCAGTCATTAAAAATATCACAGCACTTTATTGACAGGAAAGAAGTGCAGGTTGTGTTGATTCTGTGAACAAAATAGAAAGCAAAATAGCATAGGGTACGGATTCCATTTTTGTAAAAATATATAGGTATATGTAGCAAATAAAAGACCTACAGGTGTAGACACTGAGTTGGCAGTTCAGTGGGTGCTTATGATTTCTTTGTGTCTCTCGAGTGCAGGCTGGCTTCGAACTTGCAGTGCAGCGGAGGATGAGCTAGAACTTCTGATCTTTTTGCTTCTACCTCTCAAGTGCTGGAATTCACATATGTTATCGTTTGCTTTTGTAATAAGAGGCCGATCCATTACAGTCCTTCATTTTTGATGAAATGAGTCTGGTTTTGAATATTCTTTACAAAGTAGAGCTGACTTCTAAGCTGACATAGAAGCTACAGTCTTCCAATGTATAGGAGATGGCAGGAGCCCTCATAGTCACAACCCGCGGGAGAGTCAAGGAAGAGCCTGTGACATTAGCACCAACATCCTAGGCTCTGATCCAGGGTTTCCAGGCCCAGCCAGCTCAGCTCAGTTCAGCTCAGGTGTCCTACTCCTGCTGAGTCACCAGCCTCATCATCTTCAGAGCCATTTCCCCTTGGTCAGCAGGAACCTAGAACCAAGAAGCATCTAAATTAGTGTCCCTGACATAACTACTGGGTCAAGGACAAGGGTGACTGACACCCTCCTTTCTAGGGGAGGCCTAGAAAGATCTGTGACAGTTGCCTGTAAAGAAAGGTTCTCCTTGCTGGACCAAAGTTCTTCTGGGCTCCCCAAGTGTTGGGGACTGAAAAAGCTGGCATTTAAGGAAGAGACTTCCATTCCACTTAGAGATGATTTGTTTATTTTTCCCTCCCCTCTCTCCATGTCCCCTCCCATTCCCTTCTTCCTTCCTCTCACTCTTTTTAGCAGAGCGGGAAATCAAATCTAGGGCCTCACACATGTTAGGCAAGTGTGATTACCACTGAGTCACATACCCCTAGCCCTTGGTGACTTCCTTTCGGTGGCTGTGTTTATAGTACCGGGACTCGGTCTATTTAAGAAAGAAGGAAGATAATGCGGAAAGAAGGACTGAGGATGTAGCTCAGCCCGTAATGTCATTGTAAGGCATGCATAAAGTCCAGCGTTCCATCCCCAGTAACATGTAAAACACGCTGAGAGAGTACATGCCTATAAAGACCAGCACTTGAGAGTGGAGGCAGGAGGATCATGAATTCAAAACCAGACTTAGCATTACAGAAAGTCAGAAGATATCTTAGGCTAAATTATTAGACCCTACCTCAAAAAAGAAAAGCAAAACAACAACAAAAATCAATGTTTAAAAAATGTTGGGGTGACTGGAGAGATGGTTCATCAATTATGAGCACTGGCTGCTCTTCCAGAAAGACGAACTGGGTTCAATTCCCAGCAACCACATGGTGGCTCACCACTGTCTGTAACTCCAGTTCTAGTGGTTCCAACACCCTCACACAGACACACATGCAGGCAAAAGACGGATGCACAGAGAATAAAAATTGATTAATTAAAAAATGTTCTTTTAACTTCAAAGTCCAGATGTGGTGGTGTGCATCTGTAACCCCAGCACTCCTATGGTGAGACAAAAGGTAGACACAGGAGAATCACCCAGAAATCTGTGGGCTGGCACAGCAGGCATGGAGAGACCTTGCCTCAACAGGTGGAAAGAGAGAACCAACTGAGAGACTTTCTCTGATGTCTTTATATACTTCAAGGCATGTGTGACCCCACTCACTCACACTAACAAATACAGAGAAGATGCTAAACATTTTTTTGTTTTTGTTTTTTTGAGACAGGGTTTCTCTGTGACTTTGGAGTCTGTCCAGGAACTAGCTCTTGTAGGCCAGGCTGGCCTTGAACTCACAGAGATCCACCTGCCTCTGCCTCCCGAGTGCTGCCACCACCACCCGGGTGATGTTAAACATTTGAAAGCATTTCTTTTGTAGGATGGGATAGAGAGGAGGTGGAGACGCAATCTAACTGAAGACCTAAAACCCAATAGAAATGAACCCTTGCAGCCGGGTGTTGGTGGCGCACGCCTTTAATCCCAGCACTCGGGAGGCAGAGGCAGGCGGATCTCTGTGAGTTCGAGGCCAGCCTGGTCTACAGAGTGAGTTCCAGGACAGCCTCCAAAGCTACAGAGAAACCCTGTCTCGAAAAAACCAAAAAAAAAAAAAAAAAAAAAGAAATGAACCCTTGCTTGGCTTGCATCCTAAAGCTTACACTGTTTCTTTTTTTTTTTCTTTTTTTTTTTTTTTCTTTTTGGTTTTTTCGAGACAGGGTTTCTCTGTAGCTTTGGAGGCTGTCCTGGAACTCACTTTGTAGACCAGGCTGGCCTCGAACTCACAGAGATCCGCCTGCCTCTGCCTCCCGAGTGCTGGGATTAAAGGCGCGTGCCACCAACGCCCGGCTACACTGTTTCTTGATATCAGAATTTTAGAATAAATTTTTTTAAATCTACATATGGAAGTTTTGAAGAAATTTGACTCTTTGGAAAAGGAACTGTTATAAGAGTTGGAAAATGCACCTATATGTATATATTTTTAGCAATAAACACATGCTGAGAAACTCTTCCATACATCATTAAGGAAGGGAAGGTTGAAGGCCTTGGTTTCTCTCCTTCATTGGAAAAGCTTCACAGTGGTCTCTAGGAGTGGTGGTATGAATAGGAGCGGCCCCTGTAGACTCATGTGTTTGAATGTTTGGTCCATAGGGATGTGAGTGGCACATTAGGAGGTGTGGCCTTGTTGGAGTAGGTGTGGCTTTGGTGGAGGAAGTGTGTGTCACTATGGGGGCAGGCTTTGAGGTCTTAGAAGGTCAAGCTCAGTTCACTTCCTTTTGCCTGCAGATCAAGTTGTAGAGCTCTTAACTCCTTCAGCACCCGTCTGCCTGCATGCTGCCTGTTACCCACCGTGATGTTAATGGACTAAACCTCTGAAACTACAAGTCAGCTCCCATTAAATGTTTTCCTTTATAAGAGCTGCCGTGGTCATGGTGTCTCTTGACAGCCATAGAAAGCCTATCCCCACCCTCTGATCTTTTCTGATTCACCATCCTGGACTCTCCTAACCATGGGTTCCTAAAATGACACTTAGCCAACTGAAGCGAATGACTTAACAACAGTTTCCAAGGACTACTTCACCTTGAAAACGCTGTTCTGGTCTGCAAGTGACAAACCAAGATTACATAAATTCCACACTAGAGCAGGAGGGTTACATACAGTAACGGTGTGTCCGTTTCAGGATCTCTAACAGCTTAGCCCAGGTCAGCAGAGAAAGCAAGGTACCCACATTCACATAACTGTAACTAAAGCCACCTTAAACCTGCCCCACTGCTTCGTGTGTCAATCTGCCCTTAAAAGGGTGGGGCGCTCCTCCCCTTTTCTGAGAGGCTCCTTCCTGAATGTCAGGCTGGCCTTAAATTCACTCTGTAGCTTCGGACTCTCTACTATAGTGGTCTCAACCTTCCTAATGCTGGGTCCTTTATGTTCCTCATGTTGTAGTGACCCCCCAATCATAAAGTTATTTTTGATACTTCATAACTGTTATAAATCATAATGTAAATATCTGTGCTTTCCGAGGGTCTTAGGTGACCCCTGTGAAAAGGTCATTTGACTCCCAAAGGGGCCGAGACCCAGAGATTGAGAACCACTGCTCTAGCAGGGAGTGACAGTGCTGCCTGCCATCATAGCATTTAGGAGGTGGAGGCATGAGAACCAGGAGGTCAAGACCATTCTTACTACATTATACATTTCAGACTAGCCTAAGCTAAACCAGATTTTGTCTCAAAAAAAAAATCTATTCCAGTTGTTGACTTTGGTTTAGTGAAAAATTGTCATATAATGCTGGGGAAATATCCTATCACTAAAAGCTTTCCTTAAGCCATGCAGTGGTGGTGGACACCTTTAATCCTAGCACTTAGGAGGCAGAGGCAGATGGATTTCTGAGTTTGAGGCCAGTATGGTCTATAGAGTGAGTTCCAGGACAGCCAGTGCTACACAGAGAAACCCTGTCTTAAATTAAAAAATGCTGGGTAAGATGGCATGGGCTTTAATTCCTAGCACTTGGGAGGCAAAGACTGGAGTATCCCTGAGGCATGCTGGCCCACTAGCTTTGCCTAACTGATAAATCTAGGACCAGTGAGAGACTGTCTCAAAGGAGATAGACAGCATTCCTAGGGATCATGTTACAGGTCATCCTCTGGCCTCTACAAACAGGTACTTACATACACACATATACACACACATACAAACAGGTACACATATACACACATGTGTACCCCTCCTGAATATGTGCACCTACACAGACACATGTATCTATACACGCGCGCACGCACGCACGCACGCACACCCCAAAAGGCAGTGGCTCACACCTTTAATTCCAGGACCCAGACAGCAGAAGCAGGCAGATCTCCAAGTCTGAGGCCAGCCTAGTATACATAGTGGGTTTCAGGCCAGCCAGGGCTACACAGTGCGACACTATCTCAAGAAAAAAAAAAAGAACCCCATGAATATAGGACATAATTTCCAATAATTTTTAAAATGACCCTAATTCTGTCTATACTTTTTTTTTTACTTATTTCTAGGAAACAGCATTCTTGATAGTGACCATTATGAAATCAAATTATTGGGCTGGCAAGATGGCTGCTAAGCCAGACAGCCTTGAGTTTGATCCTCCGGATCCACAAGGCTGAAGGAGAGAAGGGACAGCTCTGTGTTGTCTTTTCACCTCACCTCTCCATGTCCATCATCCCCAACCCTCTGCAAAAAATAATGTAACTGAAAGTATTTTAAAGTCAAAATAGCAGGGCCAGAGAAGCAGACAGCGGTGAAGTACGCTTGCTGCTCTTCCAGAGAACCCGAGCTCAGTTCCCAGGATCCGTGTTGGGTGGATCGCCTGTAACTCCAGCTTGACACCCTCTTTTGGTATCCATGGGCACCCACAGACATGTGGCATGTATTCACATGGACACATACATCTGAATATAAAACAAGGGGCTGGAGAGATGGTTCAATGGTTAAAAGCACTTGGCTGCTCTTCCAGAGGACCCAGGTTCGTTCCCAGAACCCACATGGCAGCTCACAGGGGATCTGACACCCTCAAACAGATATACATGTAGGCCAAACACCAATGCACATAAAATAAAAATAACTCATTTAAAAGAAAGAAAGATCAAATAAACCTTACAAAAATAAAACAGAGGTAAACTCTGAAAAACACTGAAGATCCTCTTTGTCTGGAGTGTCAAATATTCAGCCAAGATGTATTTCTTTATATAAAAATAAACAGGCATATGAATCTCACTACTATGAAAATTTACTCTAGTCTCTAATAAACAGTAAAATTAAATGTATACCAAAGAATTGTCTTTAAATAAATTTATAACTCCCTATTAGTAAATGCTTGATTTATAATCCTATCAATCTCTGTAAACCTAGGCCCCGCTGAGACCTGTAGCTCCATGAGGTCAGGATCTAGTGCCATTCGCCCAGCCCTGTGCTCCAGGCACCCGCACAGTAACATTCATGGCTAGTACTTAGGAGACACATTCGTGTTTGATTGATGAGATTCTGGGGGCCCTTCTGCCTTTTGCTATTCCCAATCCCTTCACCAATATGTGTGTTGTGGGACTGAGGCGCACTTGGGATCAAGGCCCCTGTAATCTCTCAGCTCAAAGAAAGCTACGTAATCAACACATAACCCTAAAAGGAAATAGTCCATTCCCTCCATGGGCATGGAAGTGCCCACAGCCCTCTCTTTATACCCAAAGCCTCTTTCAAATATGTCCCTGGGCCACCACTGCTTAAGAAGACACTCCTCACCTTGTGTCATGCATACTGTGACTAGTCTTCACAAAGCAGCCAACATTTTTGTTTTGTTTCGAGACAGGATCTTATATAGTCCAGGCTCTGGAATTTACCATGTAGCCAAGGCCAGGCTTGAAGTCCTGATCCTCCTGCCTGTCTCCTGAGTGCTGGGGTTATAGAAGGGTGTCACTGTGCTCAGTCACAGGAAGGCAATCCTCCTTTCTCCACCCCCCAGGGCAAACTGTTAAGAGCTAAGCATCAATTTAAAATAAAGAATGGAGAACAAGAGCTCAGCATACCTCTCTCAGGGAGATTAAACTTTAGATTGAGTTTATGTTCAGCCTGAAAGAAACACTAACAGAGACTGAGCAACCCTTAGATGAAGTGCACAAACCAGAGTGCCTGAGATTTTTTTTCCAGATTCTGAAATACTTTCGTATACACAGCAAGAAATCTTGAGGCTGGGACCCGAGATGATAATCACTCAACCTTACAGGATGAAGGTAATTTCATGCAATGTTGTTAGCACATTGTGTCTGGGCTAGGTCAGATGACTCGAGATTGGGCAATGATCTTTCTTCTTTCTCCTTGTAAAGTCATGTTAATGTTAAAAAAAGTTTCCCAGTTTAGATTTTTGGATCAGCAATGATCAACCTAGTAAAATTTCATTTAAAAAAACAAACCTCAAAACACAGATTAGGCCGGGCGTTGGTGGCGCACGCCTTTAATCCCAGCACTCGGGAGGCAGAGGCAGGCGGATCTCTGTGAGTTCGAGGCCAGCCTGGTCTACAAAGTGAGTTCCAGGACAGCTACCAAAGCCACAGAGAAACCCTGTCTCGAAAAACCAAAACAAAACAAAACAAAAAACAAAAAAAAAAACCACAGATTAGGGAGATAAGTCAGTTGGTAAAGTTACCTCGAAAGCCTGAGGACCTGAGTTCAGATCCTGTGAAAAGCCAGTCATGGCAATCCACACCTGTAATCTCAGCACTGGGGAGGCAGAGATAGGCAGACCACAAGCTCACTGGCCCGCCAGCCCAGCTCAATTGGTGAGCTCCAAATGCAGTGAGACCCTGTCTCAAAACATAAGGTGAGCCAGGTGTGGTAACATGTGCCTTTAATCCCAGAAGAGGCAGGGGGGAATCTTTGTGAGTTCAAGGTCAACCTACAGTGAATCCCAGGCTAGCCAAGGCTACATGGTGAAACACCGCCTACAACTGCCTACAAACATACAAGGTGATCGAAGAAGATAATAACCTAGTATAACTCTGGCCTCCACATGAATGCAAGACACACACACACACACACACACACACACACACACACACACACACACACACACACACACACACGATGTGGGGGAGTGTGTGGTTGGGGCCCAGTATGGCGTGGATGGGCACCAAATATTCCCAAGATCAATTGAAGCAGTGGACATATGCATGGAACATTGTGGCTTCCCATACAGCACTATCCTTAAATTTAGAACAAAAGGGAGATCACTCACCATGTGACCCGCCCTTAGGATCCAGTAGAAGGCTAGGTTCTTGTAAGACTTAACGAAAGCAGACGTTTCCAAAGACTTAGGGTCGCTGTACAGGGCCTTCCATTTCAGCTGGTTGAATTTGGACAGATATGACCACTTCAGCTTCCGCAGCCAGGCCTCCTGACCTAGTGAGAGGGGCCAGGAATGGGTTCAGAACGGAGAGTTTGGTGGGGTCAGGGACAGAGGAAAGAAATCTAGGTCCTATAACTTAGTGTTGCCCAGTTGTAATGCGCATTGAGGTCATTGGGATATTATTAAAAACAGTTCTTGGTGGGGCCTGTGAACCCCTTTTCTAGAAGTTCCCATCTACACTTGGGCTGAGAAATCTAACAGCTATGAAGCTGCCTTTTTTTTTTTTAACTTTTGAATATTTCACAGTTTTGTTTGTTAGAGAATGTCTTGTTAAATTTCAAGTGTTCCAGGCTGCAGGCTGGCCTTGAATTCACACTATTGCTCCTCTAGATCTTTTTTTTTTTTTTTTTTTTTTTTTTTGGTTTTTACGAGACAGGGTTTCTCTGTATTGTTTTGGAGGCTGTCGGTCCAGCCCGGCCTCGAACTCACAGAGATCCGCCTGCCTCTGCCTCCCGAGTGCACTCATCTAGATCTTAAGATTTTAATCATCCTGTGTCAGCTTCAGTAGTATAATCACTGAAGGGACAAAGGACACTAGTCCACTAGAGCATGTGACTCTGGCAGGCCTTGCCCTTCTCCCCAGTTCCCTCTGCATTGCTAAAAATTTAGATTAGATTCCTAAAGCTAGCCCCTAAGGTCTATTCCCTTATTTGGCCACTTCCTCCTGAGGCTGACTACCAAGGAAGGTCCAGCTATCAAAGTATTGAAATCCAGCAATCAAAAGCCCCCTTTGGTTCACCTACTTAACATGCCCAATTAAAATTAAGCACCTCATCCTAAGATGGGGTTCCCCCTTTACCTTTATAAGCCCCCATTTGTCTGTGAGCCACATCCGGCTTCTCTCTATCCAAAGGCACTCTTTTGATCTCTGGGAAGAATACCCCTGCCTCCTTTCCCTGGTTCCCTTCTCCCTCATCCTCTGTCTCCTGTGGGTTTTTTTTTTTTTTTTTTTTTTGGTTTTTTTACGAGACAGGGTTTCTCTGTTTTGGAGGCTGTCGGTCTAGCCTGGCCTCGAACTCACAGAGATCCGCCTGCCTCTGCCTCCCGAGTGCTGGGATTAAAGGCGTGCGCCACCAACGCCTGGCTTTGTCTCCTGTGTTTTATCACTTATTCCCTGTCCATCCTCTGTCCCTCTGGGGCAAATAAATCTCCTTTGTGCTGAGACCTGGGGGCCCTGAGTCGGTACTTTTCCTTCTAATCACAGGCCTGGGTCACTAGAAACAGCTTTACCTGTGGGTTCTAAGATCTGGTGTTTAAACATCCACATGCAGGACTCTACTGCCATCAGAGAGAGCATGTGGCTTTCAGACAAGGCAATGGGACCCTGCCTGAGATCCTACAGAGACCAGTTCTCCTGGTGCCTTGGAAATACAGTTGTTAGTGTTTAACACCTTCTATAACACACCACAAAAATTAAGCTTTCCCTCAATTAAGCAGCATATTCAAGAGCCAAGAAGACTTTGGCAGGAGGGGGGCAGATATTATTCTTTTCTTTAATCACACCAAGGCACCCCAGAATTAGAAAGACCCAGAATTATCTCATGTGTCACAGCTCAAGAGTCAAAGTCAGGGGTTGATGGATATAGCAGGAAATGGTATTCCTCCTGGCATTAATGCCACCAACCCCAAGGCTAACGCATCCAAGGCCATTTCTTTCTAGCTTGACTCATGATTTCTTCCATGTGTCCCTTGGAGTTGGTTCCTACCCATGGTGTCCACAATGAGATCCAGCTGTCCATTATACACAGTCACATTGACCCCAGCTTCCAGCAACTCATCCACAATGTGGATGACAGGCTTCATGAAGTCACCCTCCATGCTTATGAAGACGTAAGGTGACTGGGCTACAAAAGGAGACGGAGAGAGGTAGCAGGGTTAGAATGGCCAGATTAAGAAGTATCTTTCAACCCAAGCATCCTAAGATATGGTACCTAAAAGTCCCTAGGCAGCAAAGGGTGCATGACAGGTGCTCCACAGAAGGACCAACGGGCCAGCAATAGATGGGTGGAAAGGAGATAGAAACAGTGCATAAGGCCCCTTTGCTTGGGAGCTTGATCAGTGCAACAAGGAGCTGAAATCTGCAGAAGCAAACAGAGAGGCAGGGGCCCACACACCCTTTTAGCTGGTCCACTTGGGAATATATTGCTCTGTGGGCCAAAGTTAGTTTGCTGATAAGTAGTCTCAGGGCCATGTTACAAGTAACAAATCTGAACCGGGGATGGGTGGGTGGGTGCAGGGGTGTTTATCTTACCACAAACCAAACCAGATCTAAGTTACTTCAAAGCAGGCCTCCAGGAAAGACAAATGGCTAAGACAAGCCAGTCAAACAATAGAAAGCAGATTCCTGATGCCCTAACACCTGCCCCACCATCATAGCTGATGACAACATATCAGCCACTGACATCGATCTGACAGGTATGGGCTACGTAAATATTATAGAAGCAATTTTCCCTTCTTCATCACTATGCTGGAAGATAACTAGCCTGGACAAAGTTCAAGTCAATGAGGCTCAGAGAGGATGAGGTACACGGCCAGGCTGAAGCCACTGATGAGCTAAGACTTGAATTCGGGCCTGAATGACCAACTGCAACTCAGAGTCAAGGATGGCTTGTCCTCTTTATTTACTTGGATTTTTTAAATGATTTCTTTTCTATTTATATGTGTGTGTGTGTGTGTGTGTGTGTGTCTGTGTCTGTGTTAGGTACACCACATGCATGTAGTGCCCGTAGAGGCCAGAAGAGGGCATTGGATTCCCCTGAAACCGGAGTTACAGGTTGTAAGCGACCCAATGTGGGTGCTAGGAACCAAACTCAGGTCCTCTACAAGAACAGCCAGGGCATTAACCACTGAGTCATCTCCCTAATCCTTACTGGTTTTTTTGAGACAAGGTCTCACTATAGCTCAGGCTGACCTAGAACTCATTGTGATACTCCTACCTCTGCATCCTAAGTGCTGGGTTCACACATGTGAGACACTATACCTGTCTATTGTAAAGACAGGATCTTACTATGTAGCCCATGCAGGCCTTGAACTCTCAATGCTCCTGCCTCAGCCTGCTGAGTACTGGGACTGCAGGTCTCTGCCATCATACCAAGCCCCCTGCAGTGTCTAACACCACAGCTGGCTTTTTATTTAATGTAGAGACATGAAGATATTAAATCAGGAATGAGCTCGAGTGATATAGATTGTGACAGAATGATCCATGAACCCTAACAAAGTCAGGACTAGGGTCAGAACACAGTTCTCACCAGGCAGTGGTGGTACACAACTTTAATCCCAGCACTCAGGAGACAGAGGCAAGTGGATCTCTTTGAGTTTGAGGCCAGCCTGATTTACAAAGTGAGTTCCAGGACAGCTAGGGCTGTTACATAGAGAATCCCTGTCTGAAAAACCAAAAGCCATAGGGGCTGGAGAGATGGGTCAGAGGTTAAGAGCACTGACTGCTCTTCCAGCGGTCATGAGTTCAATTCCCAGCAACCACATGGTGGCTCACAACCATCTACAATTTAATCTGGTGCTCTCTTCTGGCATGTAGGCAGAACACTGTGTATGTAATAAATAAATAAATCTTTAAAAAAAAAAGCCAAAAACAGAAAAAACAAAACAAAGAACCCCAACCCACAGCTCTCAGCAGCTATGGTGGAGGTAACCTTAGAAAGGAGCCCCGCCTCGTAGTCTTAGGGTATCTTGGATGCAAACCAAACAAATGCCATTTGCTCGTCCAATGGGACTAAATAGGAATTTACCCAAGATTTCTATCTGGCTTTGGTCTCTAAAGACTCCAGACCAGAACACAGACATGGCAGACTGTGTTTGAAAGGCCAGCATGGGAACTGGACAAACTCGCCCATACACATGGACCATCTGAGGACCTTCAAAGGACCTTTGGCTAGAAATCTCACGTGACCAACTGTGGAAGTTTTTTTATAAAAATGTAGCATTTTTAGCCAGGCAGTGGTAGTGCATGCCTTTGATCCCGCACTTGGGGAGGCAGAGGCAGGTGGGTCTCTGTGAGTTCGAGGCCAGGCTGGTCTACAGAGGGAGTTCCAAGACAGGCTCCAAAGCTACAGAGAAACCCTGCCTTGAAAAACCAAAATCCAAAACAAAAGAAACAAAAAAGTAGCATTTTTATTATAATTTTTTAAATTCTATTTTTCACTGACGGGTGTGGGGGTGGGGGTGGGGATGGACACATATATATACCATGAGGCACATGTAGAGACCAAAGGATAACTTCTGGGAGTTAGTTCTCTCCTTCAAGCACGTGGGTCCCAGAGACTGAAGTCAGGTCAACAGGTTTGATGGCAAGTGCCTTTAACCACTGAACCATCACCCTGGCCCTTTATTTGTTTAAAGACAGTGTTCTGCTAAATTGCCCAGGTTGGCCTCTAACTTGTGGTCCTATGTCAGCCTCTTTTTTTTGGTTTTTACGAGACAGGGTTTCTCTGTATTGTTTTGGAGGCTGTTGGTCCAGCCCGGCCTCGAACTCACAGAGATCGCCTGTCTCTGCCTCCCGAGTGCTGGGATTAAAGGCGTGCGCCACCACCGCCCGGCTCCTATGTCAGCCTCTTAAGAACTGGGAATTCCAGGTGTGTATTACCATACCCTGCTTCTATTTTTTCACTCCTATTTTACAGAGGAAAAGGGTGCAGTAGTCCCCGAGCGCCCATACTAGGCCTCAACAGTAATCGACTCATAATCAACCACACACCACTCCCCACCCATTTCTCTGCCAGCTCCTTACTGTGATTCATTTTTGTCATGTCGCTGACTGATTCTGCATCTGCTGCAGACAGTAAAATTACTTTACTTACAACAGACCGCCATCACCAGGGAAACCCAGTCTACATTAAGGGCTCTGAATCTGCGCGCATCCCCCGCTACGAGCAGCACCAGATTAGGCCATTGAGTTACCTCCCCAGGAGCAGTCCTCAGGGATAATTTTGAGCTTCTTTCTGATGGGGCCATTCATGAGTTGACTTAAGGTGTCTCCTTGTAGATTTCTCACGTGACGCTGACAAAGACGAACTAAAAGCAAACTGGTACACAGTGAGTCAAAGGCCTGGGATCGGGACCCCAGGGGCATCTTTCCCAAGCTACTGGGGGAGTCGGCACAGCAGTGGGGAGGCTTTTTCCTGGTAAAGGAAAAAGTGTCACTTTGGTCTACCTGGACGGGAGAAAGGAGGCCTGAAGCAGGTTGAAATCAGATAGGTTAGTATTGATAACTACAGTCTCTGCACTATGGGGTCCACTGGGATTACCCTAAACAGACAAAGGAAGTCAGCTGAGGAATCAAGGAGTGGCCAGCTTACGGGGGGAGGGTTACAGGCACTCTGCAATCAGAGCCAAGCTGGGCCAGCTCAGAGACCACTGACGTCAGGCCTGCAGGGACCTGACACTGCACTTCAGTGAGCGGAAACTGCTTCCCCTGTGGTGCAGCTCAGTGGCAGAGCGTGCACTAGGTCCTGGGTACCGTTCCTAAGGCTTTGGTTCCTATTGCTCACAGCCCTTTGGCTAAGATCAAGTTGCTTCCCAAATACATTATGCTAAGGAACCAAAAGAAAAAAAAAAAAAAGCAGATGCAAAAGCTGCTGCATGATTCCATTTATATCGAATGTTGAGAAAAGTCAAAACCCAGAGAAAAAGGAAGTGGCTCAGGGATGCTGGGAGTGGGAAGAAGTGGCTGCAGACAGATGTGAGGGATCTTTCGGGGGTGATGGGAATATTCTGAAACTAGATTGAGGTGATGACTCTGCAGCTCTGGGAGTATACTAAAAACCACTGAGAGCGACTTCTCTGTTACATAAATTGCATGTTAGTAACAGGACAGGCCTTCCTGTGCAGAGGCTGGGGGAGGTGCGCTCACCTAAGGGGCTCCGCAGGAACTCAAGGCTCGATTCCATAGAGGTCTCGGGAGTGCTTTTTGTTAAGATGTTATAGAAGTTTACCCCGTCTGTGTTCTGAAATAAAGAGCACATTCGGATAGTTCCTTTCTCTGTCCAGTTGCGAAACAGAAAAGTGCCTGGCTTTCCAAGGATGACCTTACGCTTCTAAATGTACTGGACTAGCAAGAAAGCCTCTCTGAAGGTGTAGGTGGCAGCTGTGTCTGCCTACATGCCTGCAGCACATAGCTCACGGAGCCCAGACACTGCGTGTCAGTGCACAGGGAAGCAGGCGGCAGGTGTCCTCTTGGCCACCATATTCTTTCCTTTGATCTCACTCAAGGCAGAATACTATTTGACAAGGATCCAAATAAGAAAATATATTGTCTTTAAAATATACATCCCCCAGGGTTGGAGAGATAGCTCAGAGGTTAAGAGCACCTCTGCTCCTCCAGAGGTCTTGAGTTCAAGTCCCAGCAACCACATGGTGGCTCACAACCATCTGTAATGAGATCTGGTGCAGGCATACATGAAGGCAGAACACTGTATCTATACTAATAAATAAATCTTTAAAAAACATGGTAGCTCACAACCATCTGTAATGAGATCTGGTGCAGGCATACATGAAGGCAGAATACTGTATCTATACTAATAAATAAATCTTTAAAAAACATGGTAGCTCACAACCATCTGTAATGAGATCTGGTGCCCTCTTCTGGTGCAGGCATACATGAAGGCAGAACACTGTATCCATACTAATAAATAAATCTTAAAAACAAACAAACAAAAAACCACCACCACCAACAACAAAAACCCACATTCCCCTGAACACAGCAGTCTCTTTTCTCATGACGTACGCTATCTCAAGTTGTACGGGTTGGCCTCAAACTTGCTATGTAGCTAGGGATGACCTGGAACCCCCAATCCTCCCTTCTACCTCACAAGTGCTGGATTACAGATATGTGCACCACCAACTGTGGTGGTTTGAAATAGAATGACCCCCCAAAGGGAGTGACACTTATTGGAGTAGGTGTGGCTTTGTTGGAAGAAGTATGTCATTGTGGAGGTGACATACTTCAATAAATGCTCAAGCTATGCCTAGCAAGACAGACCACTTCCTGTTGCCTGCACAAGATGTACAACTCTCAGCTACCCCTCCAGCAACATGTCTGCCTGCAAGATACCATGTCCCACCATGATGATAATAGACTAAACCTCTGAAACTGCTAAGTCACCTCATTAAATGTTTTCCTTTATAAGAGTAGCTGTGGTCATGGTGTTCTTTTTTTTGGGGGGGGGTTTCGAGACAGGGTTTCTCTGTATTGTTTTGGAGGCTGTCCTGGAACTAGCTCTGTAGACCAGGCTGGCCTCAAACTCACAGAGATCCACCTGCCTCTGCCTCCCAAGTGCTGGGATTAAAGGTGTATGCCACCAACGCCCGGCTGAGATAGTCTTTCTTATAGAACTCAAAAATTCAGTCAGGGACAAGGCGGTGGTCTTTCAGGCTGAGGAGGCTTTCTGATCCTACAAAGAGTCACCGTGTCAGGCTGGAGAGATGGCTCATAGGTTAAGAACACTGGTTGCTGTTCCAGAGGTCCTGAGTTCAATTCCCAGCAACTACATGGTGGCTCACAACCATCTGTAATGAGATCTGCTGCCCTCTTCTGGCATGTAGGCATACATACAGACAGAACACTATGTATATAATAAATAAATAAATCTTAAAAAAAAAAGAGTCACCGTGTCATTGCTAAGACATCTAGATGATCACTCAGAAAGCAAGCAGTTCTAAATTTGTGGGAGGCCCAGGATAGGACTGATCTTGATGACACCAACCATGGGTCCCATCCCCCAGGCAAAAAGTCATGTCATGCTCGGCTCTTTACCTTTTCAATGACGGTTTCTGCTTTCCCCCACAGCTGAGTAGCCTCCTTGTAGAAGCCCTTGTTTACAGCATCGAGGACTTGCTCTGCAATGTTGGACACCTCGGCCAAGCCTTTGTCATCAAGGAGAGACTGGAAGATAAATGGAGAACAAGAAGCCCACTGGATCAGGGAGTGTGAATCTGGTACCTCGGCAGCTGGTGATGAGCAAGAGAGAGAAGATTTGAAAATGGGAGCTTACCTAAAGAGGACACAGTCAAAAGCTTCAGAGAGGTGCCGGGGATCAACCCCAGGACCTTGTGCACCCTAGGCCAGTGCTCTACCACGGAGTTACATCCCTAGCCCCAAGTCACATACTTATTGATGGAAGACACAGAGTAGGCTGTTAAATGAGTCACGATAGTAGACCCTTGAGGGTTTAGGTTTACTGTGACCTTTCAATAGTGGGGGAGGGATGTCTGAAGAACAAGAGAATTCAAGACTGTGTTGGGCTGGGCTGGGCAGTGGTGGCGCATGCCTTTAATCCCAGCACTCGGGAGGCAGAGGCAGGTGGATCTCTGTGGTTCGAGACCAAGCCTGGTCTACCGATCGAGTTCCAGGACAGGCTCCAAAACAATACAGAGAAACCCTGTCTTGAAAAACAAAAAAACAAACAAAAAAAGACCGTTGGGCTGGAATGGAGACAGAGGCAGAGCGACCTCTGTGAGTTTTAGATCATCCTGGTCTACATGGGTTTGGGGGTTGCAGCTCAAACTGGTCAACTAGGCAAGAAGCTATAGGACACATGAGACCCTACCTCAGGAATAATAACTAATATACTCTCTCTGGAGACCAAAGGAGGTCGGAGCCCAAAGAAGTCAGTGGTGCTGTTTCCCAGGGAGTGCGCAGAGCGGAGGACCCACCTACTTACCATGCTGTACAGGTAAGGTCCCCAGGACAGCACTGAGTCTGAAGAAAACCAAGTGAATACAGATTAGCTATGTCTTTCCGAAAGACCACCTCACTGGCTTCCCTTCAAAGTGCCAAGAGACAGGAGCAAGAAACCAGGAGTTCAAGGCCGGCATCAGCAATAAAGCAAGTTTGAGCCAGGGTAGACTACACGAGAGCCTGTCTTGACCAACCAGAAAACAAACAATGTTAGATCAGTGGTTCCCAACTTAGGAGCCATTTAGTCCCCAGAGGAATATCTGAAGATATTTCTGGTTGTCACACTGATCCTACTGTCTGTCATCTCATGACCGGAGAATGAGGATGCTACAGACAAATGTCCAAAAATGGGGTTCGGAGAGATGGGTCAGCAGGTAAGAGTGCTTGCTGCACAAGCATGAAGACCTGAGTTCAAATCCCAGAACCCACATACAAAGCCAGGTTTGGCTGCATGTGCCTTTTGTCCCAGCACTCTGTGGGGCAGAGACAGGAAGATTGCTGAAGCTTACTGGCTACCAGTCTAGTTCTAGGTTTAGGGAGCTGCCCTATCTCAAGAAATGAGGTGGAGAACTGGAGAGATAGCTCAGTAGCTAAGAGCACTTGCTGTTCTTCCAGACAAGTTGATTTGATCAGGTGGTTCACAACCACCTGTAACTCCTGTCCCAGAGGATCTGATGCCCTCTTCTGACCCCTGAGGGCACTACATGCACAGAGTGCATCGACATACATGTAGGGAAACACCCACACAGGACATAAAAAAAATGTAAAATCTCAAAAACATTGTTTAAAAATATAAGGTAGCATGATAGAGAGATTTGATGTCCTTTTCTGGCTTATGTATGCATTCATGCATGGACACACACATTTGCACACATGAATTAATATACCACATGCATACATCTCACACATACCCCCCAACACACAACAATAAAAAAATACCCTTAACACACAGAACCATTCCCCATAACAACACCACACTATTCCAAATGTCAGTGGTGCTGAGGTTAAGGGAATCCAAGAGAGTTAACCTGCCTGAGATGACCACTTCAGACACCTGAAGCCACACCCTGATTGTGTCTGAGATAGACTGTTCCAGTCCCTGCTCCCAAAGGATTACAAAAGTGCAGACCTCAGCGTTGCAAGACCTGACACCAACCTTGCCTCACCACCATCACGAGTCACACATGGAATCCACTTGCATATGCTCAGGATGCTAGATGGGACAAGCTAGTGACACAGATTCACCCTGTGCTGAGTCACACAGAACTGGGTCTCCTCTTTTCCAAGCCACTCACAATGTCTGAGGGATTATTTCAATATCCCCGAGTGTTTACAGCCATCTCCTACTGTAAACTCTGATTCCTTCACTGGGAAAACCACATCAGAGAACTCAGCTTGGTCGCAGAGGCTATGCCAACGACGACTCATGCCCACATATATCTTGGATGGATGAATGCTTTCTGTGATGACTTCTCCCAAGAATCCAGACACCTCTGCTGTCCTCTTATTTCACCTGGATGGCACAGTCCTGCGGGGATGGCTGTTTCTACTAGGCTTGACACAGTCACAACCACACAGCAGAGTGACTGTGGTGACTTATCAGAGACCTTGAACTGTAGTCTAGGCAACAAAATAAACAGAACTATACAACAGAGAGTGAGGTCCATCCATGATAATAGAACAATCAGGGGAGGAAAGGAGATCACAAGACGTGCACAAGTCCCTTCCCTTTGGATTCCAAGCTCACCACTGCCTGCCTGCCCCACTATACAACTATACGTATGTTAGACACACTAAAATATATGAGGTTAAAATTGCTTGGGGGGAGGGCCAGCAGGATGACTTAGAGAGTAAAGGCATTTACTGTACAAGCCTAGTGACTTGAGTTAAATTCCCAAATCCCACATGAATACAGAAGTAAAGAATTAACTCCACAAAGTTGTCCTCTGACCTCTACATGTTCACAGTGGCACCCCTGTTGTAAGTTTTAAAAAGTGGCTCAAGAGAGAAACACACCATACAACAGAGTTCAAGCAGATGGGTTTTTTTAATTAGGGGAAAGGATCTTAAAAGGGGGGAAAGGAGGGGGAGACTGGTCTCTGGGGACAGGAGCAGTGGAAGAGACGAAAGCGGGGGAAGACAGAGGGAAAGAGAGAGAGAGGGGAGGTGGACAGGGCTCTTTTAAAAGGAACATAGTAAATATGCCCAGGTGGTGCTCTGAGTGGCAGCAGCTGAGGGCATGTCCTGTCAGAACCCCAAAGGCAGGTCAGTACAAATGCCTAAATACTAACAACCCCCTCACTATCACACACACATACATACACACACACACACACACACACCATTACCACCATCATTATCATCAACACTCATTTTTAAATATTGTTTAGGCCAGGCATGGTGGCACACTCCTTTAATCCCAGCATTTCTGAGGTAGAGGCAGGCAGATCTCTGAGTTTGAGGCCTGCCTGGTCTACACAGTGAGTTTCAGGACATCCAGGGCTATGTAGAGAGTCCCTGTCTCAAAAAAAATTTTTTTAATTTCCTAAGGACAGGGCCTTGCAGTACACAGTCATACAAGAGTCACCCAGGCTCCTGTTAAGTAACACTCAAAGATTCCCTGGCCGACCAAGCAGGACGTGGGTGGGATCCTTCAGTCTGTTGGTGCTGGAGGCCAACAGACCTTTCATTATGTTTCTTCAGAAAACTGGCACAATAAATACAAAGTTGCAGAAGGAGACAGGGACAGGAGAAAAGAGAGATGCCTAAAAATGGCACACTTACCCACAGGGGAGATCCAGGAGTCACCCAAGGCCACGCCGGAAAAGTTGCACTTGATGGTCCCTTGCTGAACAGCCTGAAAGAACAGCCAAGAAATGCTCTGACCAAGGCCACCAAGGCCTCCATCCCTCCTCAGCACAGAGGCATACTCATGGTGTCCCCTAACCCACATCGTTCAATTTCCCCAGGCATCAGAAGACCACACATGTGACAGCAGCAGCCCCTGCCCACCGCCACTGGGAAACACAGGAGGGGCTGCTGAGTTTCTCTCTGTCTTATCCACTAGAGTCCCCAGGACAGGTATGGGATTTGTCCCTAGTTATCTTTGGAAAGCTGGGGATATCCATGTCCTGATGTTACTCAGGGGTCCCTTGGGTATAGGTACCACTGCCAAGCAGCGGTCACTGAGGCTGGGGCTCTCCAGGACATCCTTGAGGGTGGGGGCCATGCACAGGACAGGCCATCCTACTCTCCACCAGTCCCAAACACAATGCTGGACACAGCCTAAACATGCGCCAGAGAGATGGGCCACATCAGCTGTCATACAGGATAAAACTCAAGACAAAGCAGAAGGCTCCTTAGAAACCAAAGTGAAAATATCCCCACAGCATATTATTGAACACTCAAAAAGGAATATGAGCTGGCGTATCATATATGCTATCACGTGTATGGGTTACACAGCTATGTGTATCTGGTAAAAATATAGAGACTAGGAGGCTGCCAAGGGGAGCAGGGCGCAAGCTAATCGATGAGAGTAAATGAGCTATTCAGAGGCTTAAAACAAGAGAACAAGACTGAGCCAGGTGGTGGTGGTGCACGCCTTTAATCCCAGCACTCGGGAGGCAGAAGCAGGCGGATCTCTGTGAGCTCGAGACCAGCCTGGTCTACAGAGCGAGTTCCAGGACAGCCTCCAAAGCCACAGAGAAACCCTGTCTCAAAAAACTAAAAAAAAAAGGTCACAGAAAGGAGACTGTGCTTGGGGACAGCAAAGCCAGATGTCATTCACATTGGGGCCACTGAAAGAAGCCTGAACACTGAAATGTGCTGCAGGACAAAGGAGACCCATTGACGGACACAGGTCACAGTGTGACTGCTCTTTCGTTGGGACTTTATGGATGTGAGCAGAAAGTGTTACAAAGTGCTAAACCGTGGTGAGCGCCACCTGGTAGGTGAGTTTTTTTCTGTCTTTGAGATAGGGTATAGCCCAGGCTGGCTTCAAACTCACAACCTCCCTCCTCAGCCTCCTAGTGTTTAGGCTACAGGTACGCCACCACACCTAGCTAGTTTATATCCTGACAGAAACAAAAAAGGATGTAGGGGCTGGAGAGATGGCTCAGTGGTTAAGGATGACAGCTGCTCTTTCAGAGAACCTAGGACCCGGCTACATTTCCAGTTCCAGGGATCCACTGCCTCTTTCTGACTTCTGCAAATAGCAGGCAAGCATTACATACACATGCAAATACACGTCAGTGGAACACAGACATACATGCAGGCAAAGCACTCATACACACAGAATTTTTAAAAAAGGAAAAGAAAAAGAAATCTTTTAAAAATGCATTTTTATTTTCTATGTACGAGTGTTTACCTGCAGGTACGTATCTACACAAGACTCCATTCCTGACAACCAATTTGACTCTCAGAACCCACAGTAGAAGGAGAGAGCTCCTGAGAGTTGTCCTCTGGCCTCCACCCCACACACATCATGGCATGTGCATGAACACACAATAATTAAAAAAAAAGAGCTGTTCAATATCAGGTAGGCACATGAAAGCAACACCCCATTTTTTTTTTTTGTTCAACACCATCACATCACCCTTCATTTACCTTGTGAAGTTCTAGACTGATGCCAGCAGCCATTTTCCCTCCATAGGATTCTGAGAAAATGTAGAAAGGAACCGTCTAGCAAGGAAAAGAATTTACAAAGACTTAAAACACCGTGATTGCCTTTCAACTCACACAAACCGTCTTCAGATCTCTATAGTGTACAAGAGTAGATAAATAAAACCAATCTGCTTGTCTTTGCCCTCTGATTACTGACGTCTGGTTAGGTGACAGAAAGTCAGAGCCCACAACCTAGAACAGAGCAAGTGTCTGAAAAGACAGCTGCCATTGAACTCTTTGTTTTCAAGACAGTCTCCACACAGTCCTGGCTGTCCCATGGCTCTGAACTTTTGGGAGAGCTTAGTACTCTGAAGAATTCCCTGTCCCTCCTGCTCATCTCCCACATCCAAGCTGAAGAATTACCTGGAATTCTTTATGGCAATCAAAGAAGGATTTCAGGAGAACCATCATGTCCGAAGCTACTGTGTCCAGATCCTTTGCATAGGCATCAGTTGTGTTCACGTAACTGAAGCCAGTGCCCACGGGGTTATCCACAAACAGGAGACTGGCTGACTGTAGCTGCAGACACCCAGAAAAAGCAAACATTGCAACAGTGGTTAGTCACTAGTTATCTTCCTAAGAATCTGGCAAAACCACATCTATGATAACATCGGTGTGGTTACTTAAATCCTTAAAGTGATTTTAGGGGGCTACGGAAATGGCCCAGTTAGTAAAGTCCTCGCCTTACAAGCATGACACCCTGAGTTGGATCCCCAGAACCCATGTTACAAAAAAAAAAAAGTTGGGCAAGGTAGTACACTCTTGTAACCCCAGTGCTGAGGAGATGGAGACAGATGATGGACATATTCTAAGTGTCACTCAACAGTGTAGCCTAAATAGTGAGTTTCAGGCCAATAAGAGACTCTGTCTCAAAACAATAGCAACCCGAGGTCGGATGAACAGACACGCAGACACACACACACTCACACTACACAAAATAAATGTAACAGATTTCTTTAAGGGGAAAGAAAGGAGATGAGATGAAGCTACACAGGAACAAAGACTTTAAGCCACCACATCTCATACTCAGAAGCACACTGTAGGCAACAGAGCAGGAAGCACCAGGCTGTATTAGTCTGAGCAATAATCTGAAGGAATGAACATCACCCGGACATCAAGGGCTGAGGATGTAGCTCAGTTGTTAGAATGTCTGCCTAGCATTTCTGAAGGGGGTTCAATCCCCAGAACTGCATAAACCGGGGTGATGGGTCACGCCTATGACCCTAGCACACAGACAGTGGAGGCTAGAGGATCAGAAGTTCAAGGACATCGTGGCTACACAGTGAACTGGAGACTGGCTTGGGCTTCATTGCTGTCTCAAAAAATATTTTAAAAAGAAATATGGATATCACATTATCAGTTTTCTTCCAGATAAATCTAATTTCCAAATGGGCCCATCATCCCGTTTTGACTGCAAGAACAGACTGTGTTCTCCTATGTTTTCCAAAGAGGCTGAGAATTCTAATTGTGCCTCTGGAAGGACCGTCAAGGAGGAGTAGCCATGCTCCTCATTGATCAGACGTAGAAACCCTGAAAGGACTCAGGACTTGGCAAGGTCACAAATCACACAGGACGGGCAGCAGCATTAAGTCTGGGACCCAGGCCCCTCACTCCTCATTCAGGCTCTCGGTTCCTGTCTTACTGCCTTTGGGTCCAGGTGTGGGAACAAGGCCAGGGAGGGCAGTGATGACGCTCTCGGGCCACGACAGCGAGGTCAGAACTATTTCAGGCCAAGAGAAAACGCTGCAGGAGGACAAGATGGGTTAGCTCCAGATGGGAGACCGGAAGAGCCCGAGGACACTGGGAAACATTCTCAACACTGAGTGCTCCCACAGGGCGGGGAGAAAGGTGCAGTGTGTGGGGGCAGGAGAGCCCAGGCCCAGCTCGTCAGCCGGATGCACTCAGCCAGGCTGTGAACTGAGAATGAGGTTGCTTATGGAAGGAAGTGATGGGTTGTGGGGACACAAAAGAACTAGGAAGATACCGAAGGCGGTGGTGAGGCAGGGGAGAGACAAGGGGCTTGCAAACTTGATGAAGTCCAGATGTGAGAAGAAAGAGAAAGACAAGAATTGAAAGTTGTAGCAGATGGTGGGAGTCAAGGCCTGAGGCTGCAGAGGGCCGCCATGTGGTTAAGCAATGTCAGCCGCAGGGAATCTCAGTTTTGTGTTTGTTGTTGTTGTTTTGGGTTTTTGAGACAAGAGTTTCTTTGCGTAGCCCTGGCTGTCCTGGAACTCACTCTGTAGACCAGTTTGTGATCCAACTCAGAGATCCCCCTGCTTCTGCCTCTGCTTCCTGAGTGTTGGGATTAAAGGCATGCACCACCACCCAGCCCAGTTTTGTTTGTTTTGAGTCAGGGTTTCATGTAGCCTAGGCTGGCTCTGAACTTGCTACATAGCCAAGGACTATCTTGAACTTCTCATCCTTTAGCCTCTATGTCCTGTAAACTGAGATTATAGGTTATAGGTGTTCATCCTTAAGTCTGTTTTTTTGTTTGTTTTGCTTTTGTTTTTGTTTTTCGAGACAGGGTTTCTCTGTAGCTTTGGAGGCTGTCCTAGAACTAGCTCTTGTTGACCAGGCTGGTCTCGAACTCACAGAGATCCACCTGCCTCTGCCTCCGGAGTGCTGGGATTAAAGGTGTACGCACCACCATCACCCCGCTGTTAAGTCTGGTTTTTACAGTGCTGAGTTTTGAACCCAAGGCTCCGTGCATTTGGGACAAGCACAATACCCACTGAGCTGTCCCCCAGCCCTCAGCTGTGGCAGAAGTTTCTGAAGGTAATTGGAGAAAGGTCACCAAGCTGGAAAAGGCAAGGGACATGGAAGTAGCAGGGCTGGGAGAAGGCTGTAGGCAGGTGTTCAAGGTCTGCTAATTCTGTGGCCCCGCCCTTCGTGGGTGGAGCTATGGGGGCCAGTCTCTGAGAGGATGCAGGGTAGGGATGGTTGAGAGCTGTTCTCATTGTACCCAGGTGGTATTCCGTGGCTTGAGATGGGTGTCAAGAGGCCCGATTTCCTCAAAGTTTCCAAATCCAGTGCTGGAACCGCCTGGACCACCCTATGGAAGAGAAAGAAACAAACATTAAATCTGAGAAAATGCAGTCAAGCCCTGCTTATTAAACAGTGTGCACACCCAGGAAAACAACTTAGGACCTAGTAACGGCTGCATCACCCTGTACAAAGGACACGTTTTCAACTGGATGAGAAGGTGTACATCCATAATCCCAGCACTTAAGGGGATGAGGCAGGGGGATCAGGAGCTCATCTTGGTTCTTTGGACTTAAACTTAGGCCCGTCCTGGGGCTCATTGGTTCTAGCACTTAAGAAACCTTCAAAACGCATCTCTAAACACATTTCAAAGAGCCTAAAGGCACAAAGAGGGATAGACCAAGCTAGCCCTGGGCCCCTAAGCAACTGCAGGCTCCACTGGAACTATAACTTGGGATTTTTGACTCTTTCCTTCCCCTCAACCCAAAGCTGAGAGACTCTCCTTTGGAACCCAGTGGACAGCCAAGTACCAAGACTGAGGGGCACTTTGGATAAGCCTTGTCTCTGTGTACACCACAGTCAACCGGGGTGGGAGCATGTGACATCAAGGGCTTTACCCAGGCAGCAGAGAGGCAGGATTCTGAACTGAAGATTGGTACCAGTGCCCCCAAACTGCAAAAGACAAGGTCTGTGCACTCTGAAGGGCTCACAGTGGGAGGGGTGGGCAGAAGCAAGCAGGCAAAATGGCCCTGAGGATGGAGAGAGGTCTTCTGGGAGATGGTCAAGAAAAAGGAAGGAGTTTTTCCTAGCTGGATCTAGGAGGCCCCGATGAGCTGGAGGCAGGGATGAGGAAACGTCAGAAGAGTCAGAGACAAGGTCAGGGTATACAGTCCCTCGGTGCATGGAAGGAGAGTTCAGAAGGGAGGGGCAAAGGGAAGAGTAAGATGGCAGGGCAGAAGCCAGGGCAATTTGCCCAGGGAAATCCAAAGAAAAGAAACTGACTGAGGCATGACAGACACCTGTAATCCCTGCATTACATGCAAAGGCAGGAGGATTATTGAGTTCAAGGCTAGCCTGGGCAGGATCCTGCCTCTCCCCTAAAGAAGGGGCGGGACAAAGGGGAAGCAGGGCTGGCAGGACCAGGTAACAGGCCCTCTCTGCAAAGCGTCTCCCATACCAATGTTTTGAACTGTCACTAACCTCCTTGCTAAAATTCAGGGGCTCAATTGCCCTGTGATTATAAGCACTTTACATGTTAAGATTTCTTAATACAGTGATAAAAAGTTTGCAAACCAGCTGGAGATATTCATCGCAGTGTCACTAATAGCACTGAGTCAGGGTGCAACTCAAATGTCCTACCAAAGGGAAGAGGGCGGGGAACCACACCTGCGGGAGGAATCACGTGGCCACTTGGAATCAGACTCCAGAAGTGGCGTGACTCCTAAATAAACACACAGTCCACTAATGAAGTGTGTACCCTCGAAAGAAGGGGAGTCCTTTACCAAGGAGATTCGTCAGGATAAAACAAACAAACAAACAAAAAAAAGGTTAGCAGGAACATGACTGAGAATCCAGGGGCCTGGGCCACTGTAGGAGAATTTCCATTTTCTATTTCTTCTCCCTTTCCCAGTGGGTAGGAGAAACTAACTGGATGGTGATTCCAGTGTGTGTGTGTGTGTGTGTGTGTGTGTGTGTGTGTGTGTGTGTGTGTGTACGTACACGTGGAAGTCAAAGGCCCCCACTGAGTGTCTGCCTCAATCGCTCTCCACCTTATATTTTTAAGTCAGGGTCTCTCACTGAATCTAGAGTTCATGAGTTCTGCTAGCCTGGGTAGCCAGTGAACTCCAAGGATCCTCCTGTCTCCACATCCACGGCACTAGGGTTACAAACTAGTACCGCTGACTCGGGTTTTTATATGAGGGATGGGTATCTAAACTCAAACCCTCACGAACACAGAGCAAGCACTTTACAGACTGAGCCATACCCGAAGCCCCTGCTATTTGAATAGTAACAATGATGATGATGATGATAAATGATCACAAAATCTCATCCAGAAACTCTGGAAACAGCTGGTACTCAGGGTTACATGGTTCCTCTGAAATATGATAAATGTGTTGGTGAATGAACTGAAATGCTTAAACAACTTGAAAAATAGCTTACTGTCCCTGAAATAGCAGCTTACTCTTCCATTCATGATACGACCTCAATTTTTCAAAGAACGCCACCACCCCCTCCCCAAAGAAGTTATTGCACGAGTTCTTGGAAGGCTGCTAGCTAGATCTTTTCATCTAAATGAATTGTTTCCTCCTCAATCATATTTTATTCTTCTTCCTTAGAGCTCTTGGGAAGCAGAGAAGAGCAGACTGGTGTCTCCATACAGAATCTCAGCTGGAGGGTAACCTAACCAAAGTCCCACACCAGACAGCCTCCAGAGCCAGGCAGACACGAAGGGCAGGCAGGACAAGGAAAAAGGCTGGCTTGCAACCTTGGTTTTTGTTTCATTTTGTGTTTTGTAGTGCTGGGGACTACAGGGCCTTCTTCAGGGTAGGAACTTCTCAACAGGCGAGCTAAATCCACCTATGAAATTCAATGTTTTTCAAACTGGTTTTTAGAAAAACGGAGAGTGCCCCAGGGGCAGCTGGGGACAAAGAGGCAGCCACAAAGCTAGCACTCAGCAGTCACCCTAGCCTTAGCACTTCTGCTTTCCCCAGACACCACTTCTGAGCCAAAAAGCTCTGCTGATTCACAGAGTCTCAAAACCACCGAAATCTCCCCACTAAGGAAACTAAAGTTCAGAGAAGGGAAGTGTCTTGCTAAGGCTAAAAGTGGAAGGAAGGTGCTGAAAACCAGGTGTCCCACCAGCAGGCCCAGGCTTTTCCACACTCGGCTCTTCCGGGAAACCATGCCACAGACCTGGGATGACCACAGGGATTCCACTCCCGATCGTTTTCCAGCTATGCTGTCCGGCTAAGCCGTATTTCCCATCCTCAACAGAGGTGGCTGTGAAGATCCTACAACAGGCTCCTCCTCAAAACTGCTGTAAGATCCTACAACAGGCTCCCCTTCACACTGCTGTAAAGATCCTACAGCAGGCTCCCCTCAAAACTGCGTAAATATCCTACAGCAGCCCCCACCCCAACTGCTTATCTTCACCTCATCACAACATGAAGTCTTCAGTGACAGGCCTTGCAGCAAGGCCTCAGCTCCCACAAGCATTTAAGATGGGAGCCTCACCCTTTTCCCACAGAGGTGAGTACCAGGGTGCCCTAATTACTGGTGAGACATGCAGAACCTCCAGGGAACCTCAGCCCCTCCCTAGAGATTAGTCTTCCGGGTGGGCGAGGCCACCATAGGGCCATTAGAAGAATGTAGTAGGATCTCTGCCTATCCCTAAACAATTCACAAGGGTTTTTTTGCCTTCAACCTTAGAGGCAGAATTCAGGGTTAAAATTCAAACACACTAGGGAAACGGGTACTATCTCATGTTCATGTTAAGGTACAAAAGACTGGAATGTGATATTTAGGAACATATATGTACATACATATGCATGCAGTAACAATGAAAAGAGAAGTCACAAATTTGCAAGAGGGCAAGGAGGGGGTACATGGTAGGTCTGAAGGGAGGAAAGGGAAGGGAGAAATGTTGTAATTATATTATAATCTCAAAAGTTAAGAAAAAAAAAGGTGGTTTCTCTGGGTATAAGAAGCTGGGCCTAGGACTGTCTGGAGAGGGAGAAGGGAGTAGGATTAGGTTACATCAACCTTTGGTTCAGAACTTTTCAAATACTTGCTGTCTAATGCCAACTGTAGACAGTTTTCAGTAATGGTTCTTGAAACTCTGGACTCAATATAAAATGACCCTGGAAAGTAAGGGATAGACGTGCACACCTATAACTTCAACACTAAGGAGGCAGAGGCAGGAGGACTACCAAGAGTTCCAGGCCATACTGGCCTACATGGCAAGATCCTGCTTCCAAAATGAATGAATGAATGAATGAATTAATGAATTAATGAAATTAAGACCAAGTAAATAGTGCTTGCTTCAATACACACTTGCTTCAGGTTGTCTCAGAAGCTTGAGAGGACCTCCCAGGACTGGCCGGACCAAAATGACATCATTGCTAAGCTGGACGCTCTTAAGAACTGCAGAGAGGTACAAGGAGGCCTGACACAAAGAAGTTATTTTACCTGAAGCCACATGACCAGGGGCAGTTCTGAAAAGTTCTTGCAAGGGTTGGTGGCATAATAGAGCCACCAGAACATGTGGGCATCTTTTCGGACGGTCACATAATCCCATGCTTCCTTGCCTTCTTGTGCGGGCCAGTCGATGGCAGCTCCTGAAACGGAAGCTCAGGATCATTTCCTGAGGAATAGCCAACACCCAGTGAATTCCAAGCCTGGTGGAGATGGTCATTCAGGCTAGAGATGCTGCTGCATGAGTTAGGTAATTCACCTTCCTCAGTATACATGCCGATAAGGAAAAACAAAGGGAGGGAGGCAGGCAGGCAGGCAGGCAGGCAGGCAGGCAGGCAGGCATGTATATGTACTCCTTTAATCCCGGCATTTGAGAGGCAGAAACAGGTAGATCTCTGTACACTCAATGCCAATTTTGTCTGTGAAGTGAGTTCCAGGGCAGGGGGGAGACTATGGAGGGAAGAAGCCCGGGTGGCTTCTGCTTTTTGCTGCCTTCTCCTTCCTGCTTTCAAGCCTCTTTGGCGGGTAAAAGAACAAAAGCCCATCGGGGAAGAGTTAGAAGTGGATGAAAAGATGATGTCTTGTGGTCAGGTCTGTAATCTTATCACCAGGAGGTGGGAGACAGGAGGATCAGGAGTCCACGTCCAGCCTAAACACATGCTGAATTCGAGGCCACAAGAAACCCTAACTGTACGTATGTATGTATGTAAAGAATAAAATAAAATAGGGGAGGAGGAAGAAGATTAAGAAAACCAAATGGTGAAGCTGAGGAAATTGGTCAGTTAGCACAAAGACCAGAGTTCAGTCTCACTGAATGTGGCTTAACTTGTAATTCCAGGACTGGAGCTGGAGACAAGTGAAACTTGGAGCCTGCTGGCCAGCCAGCCTAGCCTATCTGGAGAGTTTCGGACCAGTGTGAGTCCTGATCTTCAAAAAAAAAAAAAAAAAAAAAAGGTGGACAGTCACCGAGGAACAACATGCTTAGTTTTCTTCTAACCTCCATAAACACTTGTACACATGCACTCAAACACACACACACACACACACACACACACACACACATATCCCTCCCACATTCACAAAACAAATTTTTAAAAATGCAAAAAAAAAAAAAGAAATAAATAAAAAAGGCTGCCAATACGGCTCAGTTGGTAAAAGCACCATCTGCTTTTCCAGAGGACGTGGGTTCGATTCTCAGCATCCACACGGCAGTTCACAACCTTCTGTAACTCCAGATCCAGGGAACCCAATGCTTCTTCTAACCCACAAGGGTATGAGGCAAATACAAAATACACAAACATACATGCAGGCAAAATAAATAAAAAATTTCTTTGCAGGGTGGTGGTAATGCTCACCTTAAATCCCAGCACTTGGGAGGCAGAAACAAGTGGGTCTCTGTGAGTTCAAAGCCAGTCTGGTCTACAGAACTAGTTCTAGGACAGCCAGGGCTACAAAGAGAAACCCTGTCTCAGAAAAAAAAAATTCCAAATCATTCCACAAAACACAAATTTGCTTTTGCCCCAAAACAGGCCATCTGAGTCAGCTGATATTTTGTCTGTTCCAACCCAGCAGAGGGGACAGGCATTGTTTCAGAGCAACACCCCATGCGTGGTAGGATTTGCATGGGTCTCTTTGGCCTCTGATCACAGCTCAATCAAATGACCCTATAACGTCACTAGGCAGTCAACCGAGCAGAAAGGGGAGGTGGCCTTTAGACCTTAAAGTCTCACTCATGGCAGTTTCCTGAAACGATCCGTTTCTGTACAACCACCTCTACCTCCGCGTAGAGAATCAACCAGAAACAGAAAAGAGCAGAAAAGGAACTCTGAACTAAAACATAAATACAAATTAATAGGTTCAAGAGCGATATAAATTATGCAAGGGAAAACCCTTAGGGTTAGGGGAAAATGTGATAAAAAAAAAAACACGAATCCACTAACAAATTCAAGAAGGAAGTACCCATCGCTGGTACGCCTTTCTCGGGCACCTACCTGCACTGAGGCCCAGGAGGAGCGACTGCAACAGCAGACACAGTGGGATCGGACACACTCGCCACGCGAGCTCCATGGTGAATACAGCGCCGCAGCATCAGCAACAGGCTGGACCCAGACGGCCAGCGCGTGACGGCGGCGGGAGGGGACGAGGCGGGGCCTGGGCGGAGTCAGGGCGGGGCCTACGTGGTCCCTGAGGCGCCTGGTGTTCGGCGCGCCCTCTGTCGGTCGGACTCACCCAGGACCTCCGACCAGGGCTCTCCGGATGGTTGGGTAACTCTCCACCGTTTAGGGAGGTATTGCCAGAAGGAGGCAATTAATGTATCCTTTGATTTTGGTTACAAAACAGAGAAGGATTGAGAAACTGCAGCGGAAAAACCACCATACTCCCTAACCTACCCGTGCGTGTCTTCTCCAACAAAAGGTCTAGTATTTTATTTTGTTTTGTAAGACTTTGTGTGTGTGTGTGTGTGTGTGTGTGTGTGTGTGTGTGTGTGTGTGTGTGTGTGTGTAGAGAGGGGGGTGGTTGGTCAAAAGAAGGTGTGGGGTTCCCTGGAACTGGAATACCAGGCGGCTGTGAGTGGCTCGGTATGGATGCTGGGAACTGAATTTGGATCTTCTGGAAAAGCAACAGTGTCCAGTCAGGTTAAGGCAGATGAAGCACGAACCAGCAGGTCATTTAAAACTAGATTCCATTTACAGAAATATGTTCTGGAGTGATGGCTCAGAGATAAAGAGCATTTGCTGCTCTTTTGGAGGACCTGAGTTTGGTTCCCAGCAACCACATGGTAGCTCACAACCACATGTCATATTTCAAGGGATCTGGCACCTTCTTCCTCAGTCACACATCTGACGCACATACAAGCATGCAGGCGAGACTCTCATATAGATAAAACAAAACTAAAAATTATTCTTAAATTACATGTATCATGAATGCATTAAAAATTCACAAAAATAGATCATATACAACCATTTGCCCATAAGTTTTGGTTGTATCTTCTTAAACACAGAAAAAAAATGTAATTTTTTTCTCTCTTGGTAATATGTAATCAACATCTTACATATTAAAAAAATTAAGCCTGCAGTCAAGGCAGAGGCAAATTGTAAATATGATTGACAAAGGTCACAGCAGGGACATATCAGAGATGAAATATTCTAGAGATCATTGTTGGCAAGAAAACCCACAAAGACTAGGGTATCTGGGGCTCCTGTCTTCCCTGCAGCTTTCCAGATGGCTAGCTTAATGAACCTTTCCAGATGACATGCTTTTTACTGGTTGCGTTACTCCAAGTGGCACTTCAAGCTGTCATGCATATGTCACAGGTAACCCAAAAGGTGTGTGATGATAGGCTGCTAGACAAGGAGGTGGTTTGGATCCCTGGTTTCGACTTGAGCATCTAAATTTACATTGCTGTAGGAGTGGTAACAGGAATAGTAAATTTACCTCTAGATGCTAGTACAACCAAATAAAGTTTAATTGTTGCATTTCCAACTCAGAAGAGAGTAAACCAGGCCCCGGAGACGGATGACTTCACTGCAGCCCATTTGCATACAGCATTTGGAATGAAACCCAGAGCAAGGCACTTCTGACAGCAGCCAGCAGTGTGTGGATGTACACTCATCCTGTCTGTCCAGTCCTGGTTCATGAGCATTTACTTTGTCTTTAGCTACTTCTCACAAAGTTGCCAGGATGAGCCTGGTCTACAGAGTGAGTTCCAGGACAGGTACCAAAACCACAGGGAAACACTGTCGAAACAAAACAAACAAACAAACAAAACAAAACAAAATTGCCAGACCCCATGGGGGATGTTTCTCGGTGGTAGAGTATTTACAAGGTCCCGTGTTCAGTCTCTAGCACTGCAAAATAAGCAAATGGTGTTGCCAAAATCATTGCACATAGCTTAACATCTGTAACTCGAGGTAGGATAGACGCCTAGGAGAACAGCTAGGTCAAAGAGCACACGAGCTGATAGTTTAGACAGATGTTACCAAGTATGGCATGACAGGTATGTGCCGGGGCATTTGAAAAACAGGTAGACGCAAATGGAGGCAGGAGGATCAGGAATTCAGGCTCATTCTAAGATACATAACAGGTCCAAAGCCAGTTCAGGCTACATAACACCATGTCTCAAAGCAAGGTTTGGGTTTTTTTGGTGTGTGTGGGGGGCTTGGGGCTGGGAAAAATGTGTGCTAGAGAGATGACTCAGCAGTTAAGAGCTCTTACTGGTCTGGTTAGAGCCAGGTTTGGTTTCCAGCACCCACACAGTGGCTTACAATCATTTTGTATTTTTAACTCCAGTTCCAGGGGACCTGATGCCCTTCTTCTGGCCTCCACAGGTTCCAGGCAGGCACCAGGCATATATGTGACACATCACACACACACTCACACACACACACACACACACTCACACTCACAAATGAATACACATAACATATAAAAAATAGTTCTTTGGGGGCCTAGGAATGAAAATGTATGCTTTTAATCCCAGCATTAGAAAGGCAGAGGCAAGTGGATGTTCGTGAGTTCAAGGCCATCCAGGGCTACATAGTGAAACACGGCTTCAAAAAGAAAGACAGAGGCAGGCAGATCTCTGTGAGGTGGAGGCCAGCCTGGCTTACAGAGGGAGTTCCAGGACAGCCAGAGCTACATAGAGAAACCCTGTCTCGGAAAATAACAAAATTAGAAAAAATTAATTGCATTTAATTTTTGTGTGGGGATGTGCATGCCATGACACATGTGGGGGTCAGAGGACAGCTTGCAGGAGCTGGTCCCCTTCTACCATGAGTCCCAGGGACCTACTGGAGGCTGTCAAGTTTGGCAGCAAACATCCTTAACCTTGGAGCCATCTTCCCAGGCCCCAAGGTCTTTGTTTTCAACATGAGGTAAGACTTGGCACCTGGCACCAGGGTTTGCATTGAGGCCAGGAGGTGAGGATGAAAGTCAAGCTCTAAGAGGGGAGGCCTCATCCACAGGAAAGGGTGGGGGAATGGTGTCACAAAAGCCACAAGAGCCTACAGGAGCTGTGGGTTTATGGGCAAATCCAGAGGGAAGACAGGAGAAGAGGGCAGGAAGGGGCACAACAGCCCGGTTGGGCCTAAGAAATGTGGACGGGTACCTCTACCTCTAAGAGTACCAGAGGTTGCTGGACTGTCACTTCCTCAGACTCAGGGAAACACTTACTCTGACCAAAGGAGAAACCTACCCAGTTGCCACTGGTAGAGGGGGTGCTGAGCGATTGGTGAGCTGGACAGTGAGTCTGTTGTGGATGCACTGGAGATGAGGGATAGGACCCCAGTACATCTCAGATCACCAGGGGGAGCACAGGCACCAGAAGAGCCTATCCGAGTCATGACACCAAATGTTAGCATTGCAGCTCTGACGGGGAAGTATCCATCAGATACAGTTGGGAGCCAAGGAATGCCACAAAGTCACTGTAATTGTTGCCGCCTACAGCTCTGTTGCTGGGAACGGTTTCCCTGGTGTCCCCAGTGCAAATGTAATAAGTCTGTTTCCCCAGCAGAAGTGTCACAGCTGGGCTCTGCTCCAGTGAAAGTGTCACACCACACAACAAACCTCACTCAAAAGACTTATTGGGAAGGAAACATCCAGGAGAGCAGGTGCCTTTTGGATGAGGAACAGCCACAAGCTCAATAGAATGCAGAGCCTACTAGGGTTTCTTGGGGAGGGGGTGACAAAGCCTTCAGGGTGGCTTGGGATCCGTGGGGTTTTGTGGCCTGATTCTGGGGCAAGCTCAGGGATCGGTGAGATTTTAAGTTCTTGGCCCTGATCTTGGAGTCAAGTCAGGGTCGGGGTGTTTTTCCTTGGCTCCTTTTGCCCTATACCTTTTCCTTGTCCCCTTCCCAATCGCCTCCTCTGTCACCACATCCTAGCCCATTCTAACACAGACCCCACTTTTTTTCCCCTCTTAAAGCTTACACCTGCAAGGTCATTTGCTGCTGTTTTTCTGCCTGATTCAGAGAGCAGTTGTTTTAACTTTTCTTTCCCACTTAATAAAGAATCTCTCTGTGAAAACAGGTGTTGTGTGTGGTTTGTGCCCAATCTGAGGTCCAGGAGGGAGCCCCATTGTGTCCATTTCACTTTCTGTTTCATTATTGTGTCACTAATCTATGCTGTTTTTTGTTTTAATAGTTTTTCAGAGACAGGGTTTCTCTGTGTAGCTCTGGCTGATCTGGAACTCACTTTGTAGACAAGTCTGACCTTGAACTCACAAATATCTGCCTGCCTCTGCCTCCCCAATGCACGGGATTAAAGGCGTGGCTACCATGCCCCACTTTGTTTTATGTTATTGTGATTAGCTGTGCACCACTAATAACTGTACTGGTAATGTAGAGCTGGGCCGTAGCTGCGGGATAAGACATTTCCCTAGCATGTATAATACAACTCTTCAGCTTTGACCCCAACATCAAAAGAAAGTAATGGAAGACCTACAGGTTTAGAATCATAAGAATTTTTTTTTCAGTGTGCCTACTAACTGCCAAGTCCCATCCATTCACAGGTTAGTTAACTTCTCTGAACATTAAAAATGTTTTAAATTTCCAAATAAGAATAAGAGTCATAACTTAGAACTTTGCACCTTATTCCACATGCACGCTAGGAAATCACTCTATCAACTGTGCTATATTCCCTTTGTTTGTTTGCTTTTAGAGAACAAGCCTTGTTTTAATTATTTTACAAAGCTTCATATTTATTTAACTTTCTGATTCTCCACTTGTGCCTTAACACTTTCACGATTTTTCTGCCTCAAGTTAAGGAGAGCACGCTTGATCTGGTCATGGCCACACAGAACCCCTGAGGCCCCAAGGACGTGTGCTTTTGTATGTTTTAGACATAAAACCCCTCTGATTCTGCCTGGACAAACAACACATGTGGATTTTGGGCATTCCTGACTCTTGTGTCGTAAAGGTAAAAATCCTATTACAGGGTCAGGCTGCTTATTATTTTTACAGGCCTTATTTTTTTATTTTTATTTTTATTTTTTTAGTTTTTCAAGACAGGGTTTCTCTGTGGCTTTGGAGGCTGTCTTGAAACTCACTTTGTAGACCAGGCTGGCCTCGAATTCACAGAGATCTGCCTGCCTCTGCCTCCCGAGTGATGGGATTAAAGGCGTGCGTCACCAACGCCCGGCTCAGGCTGCTTACTATTTTTGCAGGCCTTATTTTTTTCCCATACACGAACCTATATCTTAGGAGACATCGTGGCAGATGCTTGTATATATTCAGACCTCAGAAAGAATGGAGTAGCTGGAGCTCACGACGGGAGCCTGCAGCACGTACTTGCGCCTCTAGGCGGCGCGCGCCAGCGGCCTGCCGGGAGCGGCGAGCCGCCAGAGCACGCCTCTCCGTAGCCCCGTGGAACCTCTCGGCTTCCGTTGAGCATGAGCAAGATGGCAGCCTCCGAGACGGTTAGGCTACGGCTTCAATTTGAGTATCCGCCTCCGGCCACGCCGCACTGCACGGTCTTCTGGCTTCTGGTAGACCTGAATAGATGCCGAGTTGTCACGGATCTCATCAGTCTCATCCGCCAGCGCTTCGGCTTCAGTTCCGGGGCGCTCCTGGGCCTCTACCTGGAAGGGGGCCTATTACCCCCCGCCGAGAGCGCGCGCCTGGTGAGAGACAACGACTGCCTCAGGTGTGCCGGAGCGCGCGGCGCGGGGGCGGCTGGGCTGTGCGGGCGGGGGCGCGCCTGCTGCACCGCGCGACCACGGTCCCGGGTGACGAGCTAACTGCAGAGAGGCACACGCCAGAGATCCTGAGTGGTCCAGCCAGGGCCGGAGCATCCTTCCCTGGGATGCTTCTCATCCCGGGGGGCCTAGACTTGGAGCGGCTCTGAAGCTCAAGGGCAGGGCCCGTGGTCGCTCTGTGTGCTGTACGCGTGGCGCAGATGTGCCACAAACCCGCCTTCTGGGGGCTGCGCTTGGTGCAGGAGACCAAAGCGGAAGAAAGGATAGTAATGTCTTCTTTTTTCTTTTGGTTTTTCGAGACAGGGTTTCTCTTTTGTTTTGGAGACTGTCCTGGATCTCGATCTGTAGACCAGGCTGGTCTCAAACTCACAGAGATCCGCCTGTCTCTGCCTCCCGAGAGTTGGGATTAAAGGAGTGCGCCACCAACTCCCGGCATTTATTTAATTTAATTTATTTATTTATTGTATGTCTGGGATGTCAGAAGGTATTAGGCAGGGCGGTGGTGGCGCACGCCTTTAGTCCCAGCACTTGGGAGGCAGAAGCAGGTGGATTCATGCTGAGTTCCCTACCAGCCTGGTGTACATGTACAGGAGCTAGTTCCGGGACAGGCTCCAAAGCTATCCAGAAAAACCTTGCCTCGAAAAACCGACCCCCCCCAAAAAAAACAAACAACAAAAAAGAAGCCATCAGATTCCATTATAGATGGTTGTGAGCCACTATGTGGCTTTTGGGAATTGAACTCAGGACCTCTGGAAAATCAGGTGGTGATCTTAACTGCTCCAGCCCAAATTACGTTCTTTTTTTTTTTTTTTTTTTTTTTTTTGGTTTTTTTGGAGACAGGGTTTCTCTGTATTGTTTTGGCCAAATTAAGTTCTTATAACTATGTTAAAAACAACAACGAAAACTGTTGCAAGGAAATTGCTCCTAAATGCCTCAAATCAACAGTTACGTTGGGAAAATGTTACCTCTGTGGGCCGGAGAATGTAGCTCTGTAGCTGAATAAGTGCTTGCCTAACTAGTATTCCTGAGGCCCTAGGGTCCAGGGAGCTAGAGAGGTGGATTGAAGCGAACCTTGCTGGCAAATGATGTAGATCACAGACACAGACAAACAAACCTACGTGTAAGGGCTAGTAGATGACTCAGTAGTTAAGAGCACTGTTTGCTCTCTTGAGCACCCAGGTTCAGGGTTCAGGTCCCAGTGCCTACATGATAACCCACCAAAGTCCCAGCAGTCTCTGACACCCTCTTTTGGCCTTCATGGATACTGCACACACAAACGTCAAAACACCCAGACAAAAAAGTAATAAAGAAAATCTCAAAATGTTTTAATTAGTGAAAAGCAACTAAATGTGAAAATTTGGGGTTTTACTTACTCCTTTTTTTTTTTTTTTTTTTTTGGTTTTTACGAGACAGGGTTTCTCTGTATCGTTTTGGAGGCTGTCGGTTCAGCTCGGCCTCAACTCACAGAGATCCGCCTGCCTCTGCCTCCCGAGTGCTGGGATTAAAGGGGTGTGCCACCACCGCCCAGCTACTTACTCCTTATAATTGTCTTCCCTGACAGATTCACTATGTGTATATATGTCTGTGTCTTGTTTGTGTATGTGCACATATGCACCAGATGTGCATGCATTTATGTAAATTTATGTAGAGGTTGATGCCTTTTTCAATTACGTTTTTCTGAGACAGGGTCTCTCACTGAACCTGGAGCCAGGTTAGGCTGACCTGGCCAGTGAGCTCTAGGGCTCTGCCTGTCTCTGTCCGTCTCCGTTTCCCCAATGCTACGATCAATCAGATACAGATATCTAGGTTCTCATGCTTTGCACAGCAGGCACTCTATTGATTGAGGCACTGGGGAGACAATTTACTTAGTCCTGTTTGTTTTGAATAGTCTGTTCCTCAGGGAGGGCTGGGGTCGCATTGACGCACCTCACATCCAGATGAGATGGTGAGAGGCCCAGTCCTGTACAGCTCTTGACACATAACCTACTACAGTGAGTCCATGAGTGCAGTGCTGTGTCATGTCGGAAGACATCCTTTTGCTGCACATCTCCCCTTGGCCTTGTGTTATTTCTCCACTTCTCCTCTTTGATGTCTCCTGAGTCTTGGAGGGGGTGATATGAAAAGTATGGAGTGCTGCACACATTTGTCTGTCATTCTTGTATGGGGGCCATGTGAGTCTTCTCTGTGTCACTGTAGTTTTAGTAGACGTACTACCAAAGTGAGCATATTAGCCATTTACTGGGTCAGAGCTAAGTTCACCAGCTCCCATTGCAAAGAATGATGAGTGAGGACAGTGAGGAAAGGCAAGAGAAATGGACCGAGAAGTAGAGGGGCTGGGGGGACGGCTCAGCAGTTCAGAGCTCTGGCTGCTCTGTAGATTTGAGTTTGGTTCCTAGCAGCCATGCACAGTGATTGACAACCTCTTGTATGTCCAGTTGTAGGTGATCCAGCAGTCTCCTCTGGTCCTGGAGTGCGTGAACACACACTCAGACAACTCTTTAGAGTTGAGAGAGAAGTACAGTCACCAGATAGTGGTGGCGCACGCCTTTCATCCCAGCACTTGGGATCTCTGAGTTGGAGGTTAGCCTGTTCTGCAGAGTTCCAGGACAGCCAAAAGAGAAACCCTGTCTTGAAAACAATAACAAGAAAGGAAGGAAGGAAGGAAGGAAGGAAGGAAGGAAGGAAGGAGGAGAAAGAGAGTCTTAGGTACCTGCAGCAGAGAGAGCAGAGAGGGGTCTTGAAACAAGCAGCCCTTCATTCAGTCTTGAGGTTTTGGTGGGACTCTCTCCCAGAAACTCCTTCAGAAAAGCCATAGACACAGGGTCTGAGCTGAGCACCCCATAGCCTTGCCAGGTGGACATAAAATTAACGATTACAAACTGTCATGGATCAGACAGGTAGCTGTAACTATTCACAATCTAAGCAGAAATAGGAAACAATTTTTATTTTAAATGTTTTATTACCATATAGTTATTTTATTTATTTGTAGGGTACAATGTGTCATTTCAAGGTATGCATATATATAATATGTAATGATCAGATCAAAATCGATTATCGTATCTTTTTTCTTTTTTTTTTTAATATTGGTAACATTAAAAGTTCTCTCTAGATAAGTCTTTAGTCCCAACACTAAGGTAGCAGAGAGAGGTAAATCTCTGAGTTCAGCCTGGTCTACACATGGAGTTAAAGCCACCCAAAGCTACCAGTGTTCTTAAGAAAGAAAGAAAGGCCGGGCGTTGGTGGCGCAAGCCTTTAATCCCAGCACTCGGGAGGCAGAGGCGGGCGGATCTCTGTGAGTTCGAGGCCAGCCTGGTCTACAAAGTGAGTTCCAGGACAGCCTCCAAAGCCACAGAGAAACCCTGTCTCGTAAAAACCAAAAAAAAAAAAAAGAAAGAAAGGAAAAAAGAAAATCCTCTCTTGTAGCTCTTTGGTGATAGTTAATTGTTGTCCACCTTTGTTGTCTATACTATGGAGGAACATTAGAATTCCGTCTTTTCTATCAGTGTACATGTTTCTCTTACCTGTCCCTACAACCTCCTTGGGTTCCTATTCTGTTTTCTACCTCTTTGAGCTCTTTTATTTTAAAGTCTTCATATAAATGAATATGTATGACATTTGTCTTTTGTAGTTGATTTAATTTAGCAAACTCCCTTCTAATTCCATCCATATTGATGCAAATGATGTACCTTTTTTACAACTGAGTAATATTCCATTATCCATATGTGCACCACATTTTCCTTATTTACTTAACTGTTAGTACACTCAAGTTCAGTTTATGTTTTACTCATTCTAAAGCAAAACTGGATGGTTAATATGTTCACCTTTTAGAATGGCTAACACACACAGTACAAAGATTGTGAATTAAGAAAAAGGGGGCATGAAGTTGGGGTTATCTGAGAGAAGTTGGAAGCTAGTGTTTGTGTGTCAATGTGATTGGAATAAACTGTATCTATGAATGAAATTGTCAATAAGTAAATGTTATATTGTATTAAAAATTTTTTTTGAAGATAGGCAAGCCAAGGTTGGAATAGCCTCCTACTACTTACCAGCTGTGGATCTTGGGCAGGTACCTGTTTGAGTTGTAGTTTTGGGACCTCTGAAATGAAAGATAGCCTAGTTTGTTGGTGATTTAAGTTAGAAAAAACATGTGTGGGACGCAGTAGCTATTAAGTTACTAAAACTATCCACGATGAGCCAGGCATGACCATACTGCCTTTAATCCCAGCACTCAGGAAGAAGAGACAGTGGAGCTCTGTGAGTTGGAGGCCAGCCTGTTGTGCCTAGCAAGTTCCAGGCCAGCTAATGAAAGAGTTGTGGTCATTTTGTGTCGTCTTCATCCCTAAGTTACACAGTCTGCAGTCTTGGCTGTATGTAACTGCTTGCTGTCTTCTCTTGACAGGGTTAAGTTAGAAGAGGGAGAGCTCCCTGAGAATTTCGTAGTAAGCAATGGCGGTGACTCGAATTTTCTACCCAGAAAAGCAAAGAAGCGGGCTTTTAAGTTGGTGGACAGTGAAGAAGTGGACCTGGGTTACAAGTGCTCCAAGAAGCACTGGCGGAAGCTAGAGGACAGCAGCTATAAAGAGAAGGCCTTGGACCTGGAAACAAAGCCTGTTCCAGATGAGGTGGGGGTGGGGAGGACGAAAAGCAAGAGGAAAAACAAAGTGACAAGGAGCCCAGCAGAGGAGGAGGAAGAGGCCAGGAAGAAGTCGCCCAAGAGAAAGGAGAAATGTGAACATAAGAAGCAGACCAAGGCCCCCAAGTCTCCCAAAACACAGGCGCCCAAGGAGTGGAGCCCACACAACTGCAACTCGCCCAAGGGCTCCCCCAAAGTCTCCCCCAGAAGCAGCCTCACCAAAGCCCGGAGGAAAAGCAGCACGGGGCCAAAAGGGGGCTCAGGCTACCTGTCAGAGTCTGATTCTTGTCCAGAATCGGTCAGCGATGGCCACTGCAGTGTCACAGTGCCTGGGGTCACCTTTTCAGAGACACTCTCAGCTGAGCTGTTGAAAGATGGGCCTGCTGTAAAAACTGCCGCTGCCAACAGACAGCCCTCGAAGCCCGCCTTTCCCTGCAGCTCCGGCAAGGGCAAGGCCATCAGAAGCTCGTCGTCCAGTTCAGACTCCAGTTCCGAGTCGGAAGACCAGTTCGTGATGTCCAAGAACATCCCTGAGGGCGCCTCGGACTTCTTAAAGACAGCCGGTCTCTTTGCAGGGCAAGGGTGTCCAGGGCTGACATTGCAGACTCCCGGGGTTATGGGCTGGAAGCCTTCTGAGTCGAGCAGAGGCAGGCAAGCTCCTGGTCCTCCTCCCAGTGTGCCTGTCCCCACCAGCCTGGGAAGAGGATGGGGTCGAGGAGAGGACTTCTTGTTGGGGAAGGGGCTGAGGGGCCGGGGTGTACGGGGCCGAGGTCGAGGCCGAGGGCCTGCTGTCTCCTGTATCTTCAATAGAAACTCTGAGAGTCAGAAGCAGAAACAGTTAAATGACATCCTAACGAACTCGTCCACTGTGATCCAGGTAACTATTCATTGTTTGAGTTGCCCCCCCCTCCCCGTGGAGTGTGTCTCAGCTCCATGGTATGCCATGGGTTCCTCTTTTCTCACCAGCTAACAAAGTCATGTGACTGTTTTCCAGAATCCTGTAGAAACACACAAGAAGGACTATAGTCTATTGCCACTGTTGGCAGCTGCCCCTCAAGTCGGTGAAAAGATTGCATTTAAGGTATATGTTAAAACAGCACCAACTACAACAAAGGCAAGATTCCCATCCCCCCACAAACACACAAAACTTACTTTGTGAATCTTACTAAGTAATGTCCACAAAAACCGTCTGCCCTTGTCAGAAGTCATGGTGGGGCGCCAGGTGGGTGGGAGTGTGCAGCTCTGCATGGCACCCGTTCCTGGGGTAGGAGGGGGGCAGGCCCAGGAGAGTGAGGGTCTGGAGGGGTTGTGGACTCGCAGGATTTGTCTTCTTTTTTAGCTTTTGGAACTCACGTCGGACTACTCTCCTGATGTCTCTGACTACAAGGTAAGACTGTTTGTATGGGCACAATGAAGTTAACTGTGTGGTGAGGTGTTCCTGTTGTCTACCTTACTCAGGAGGCTGAGGCAGGATGTCCTCTTGAGCCTAGGAGTTCGCAGCTAGTTCATTAAAAAGAGAAAAAAAATGAAAAGATTAAATTGTCAGTATGTCAGAAACTTGTTCGGTGTAGCAGTATCCCTTTAACCCTGGCACTCAGGAGGCTGAGGCAGGAGAATTTTGAATCTGAAGCAAACTGGGCTGACACAGGGAGATCTTGTTTCCAAATATTTTAAATAGATGGGGCATGGGGCCAGATGGCTCAGTGGTTAAGAGCACTGGCTGCTCTTGCAGAGGTCCTGAGTTCAATTCCCGGCACCCATGTGGTGGCTCAGTGGTTAAGAGCACTGGCTGCTCTTGCAGAGGTTCTGAGTTCAATTCCCGGCACCCATGTGGTGGATTACAACCATTCATAATGGGATCTGATGCCCTCTTCTGGCAAGCAGGTATACATGCAGATACAGCACTCCTACATAAAAAATATTTTAAAAATGTGCTGAGCCGGGCGTTGGTGGCACACGCCTTTAATCCCAGCACTTGGGAGGCAGAGGCAGGCGGATCTCTGTGAGTTCCAGGCCAGCCTGGTCTACAAGAGCTAGTTCCAGGACAGCCTCCAAAGCCACAGAGAAACCCTGTCTCGAAAAACCAAAAAAAAAAAAAAAAAAAAAAAATGAAGTACTGATATATTTGAATAGCCCTTGCATGGATAATAATAGACATTTTTGGTAAGTAATGTCATAAAGGGAGTGAAAGTCCTGTGGACGTTTTACAAGTGTCACTGTGAAGTCTCCCAGTCTTCTGTTGCTGACACTTGAGAAGAACAGGATGAGAAGGGTGAGCTCGTTGTGGAGTACAGGGACTGTTGTGCTTCCCAGGTTCGAACTCAGGGCCTGTCTCAAGAGTAAATAAATAGTTACATAAAGACAAGATGAGTAAGTAAATAAAAAGCATCTCTTGTCTGTGCCCAGAGAGAAAGGGTGGGTACTGAGTGGTGGCGCTGGAGGAACTGCTCAGCAGTAAGGAGCTAGCTGGGCGTTGGTGGTGCACGCCTTTATAATCCCAACACTCGCAGAGGCAGGAGGATCTCTGTGAGTCTGACACCAGCCTGGTCTACAAATCAAGTTCCAGATCAGCCAGGGTTTTTACACAAAGAAACCTTATCTTACAAACAACAACAAAAAAGAGCTCATTGGTTGGCCTTAGTGTGAGGCTCCACAGCTGCCCATTTGTCTCACCGTTTTCACCTATATGGGCAGAGCAGTGGGTCCTCTTTTTACGTTTTTGTTTGTTTTTCGAAACAGGATTTCTTTGTGCAGCACTGACTGTCTTGGAACTCACTCCATAGACAAGGCTGGCTTTGAACTCAGAGACACCCCCTGCCTCTGTCTCCCAAGTGCTAGGATTAAAGGGCACACCACTATGCCTGGTTTAAGTTTTTTTATGATTTATTTATTTTTATTTTATGTATTTTGGTATTTGGTATGTTTCTGCTGATGCAAAAGTCAGACCAGACCAGATTTAAAGCAGATAAATACAGGTTTATTGGGTGCTGCTTTCAGGTAGGCTCATGGGTCCCAGCAAACAGGGCCAGAGAAGTCATGTGCCTGAGCTAAGGTGGGGGGATTTCTATAGGTGGGGGTTGATGACATGCCAGCCATGTGCTGGAATTGTGCCCAAGTATGGTCAGAAACTAAATCCCTGGGCAGGCATTTGGGTGGGCTGGTCATGTCAGAAAGGTGGGTTGCATCAGCTACCAGAGATGGGTCACTGGGCTTTTGGTGCCATTCCTTGGTTCAGAATATTCTCGGTGCCTGGGGATAGGGTAGGGTGGGGTGCTGGGGAAGTGGGGCAGACTAGGTTTCCTGGCCTGTGCAGGGGTAAGCAGGGATTTCAGCCAGTGTTTTGCCTGCATTCATGTCTATGAGACTGTCGAAGCCCTTGAAACTGGAGTTACAGACAGTTGTGAGCTACCATATGGATGTTGGGAATTGAACCCAGGTCATCTGGAAGAGCAGACAGTACTCTTAACCACTGAGTTATCTCTCCAGCCCCCACCTTTTAAATTTTTGAGGGGCAGAGTCTTAGCCTCAAATCATAGCCCTTATGTTGTCTGCCTCTGATGTGCTTGGATTACAAGCATGCACCATCACACCCAACTTCAGTACATCTGGGAACCAGCTTTTAAACCTGGAGACCTGGGAAGTAGCAGGTATGACCTTTTCAATGACAGAGTGGCTTCCTGTCCCTGTGCATGCTTTAGAGTGGCCCCAACAATGCCAGGCCCCGAAGCGCCACTGTTTATGTGTAGCTCGCGATGGAAGCTATGATGCTAGTCCTCTCTTGAACACATTGCTTTAGTCTACTTTCTCCCCTCAGTCCATCAGTTTGGGGCCTGCTATAATTGTTTCTTTTGCCAAGTGCTGTAGGTATCCGTCAGTCATAACTAATGTGTCTCTATTTTACCTCCAACAATATTTCTTTATATTCAGGTAGAGTGTTTATCACGCCATTGTTTGTTTTTATTTCCCTACATGTTAATTTGTTGAGACAAATTTATATTACATGTAAGTAGCCATTTCCCAGTCTACTTACTTACTGACCTTTAGTACGTTACAATGCTTTGACCTGGTCTTTTATTTTTGGAAGGAAGGAAAAATATTAAGCCATGACCCAGAGACCCAGCAAGTGGATATAGAAGTCCTCTCATCCTTACCAGGTGAGTCCTTAGAAACAAACGTGGGGCCTTAGATTCCATATCGCTGCACTCTAAGCATTCTCACAGCTAGAACTGTGCTCTCCCTTGGCCTCCACTCGCCTGGCCTCAGGATTAGGTGCCATACACTGCTCTCCACTATCTGTCAGCACACTGTAGCCCTGGGGGCCTGTGCACCTTCTCCTTGGATGGAGACATTGGGCTGGTTCTTAAAACTGTCATTATACACTCTGGCAGATTATAAGTACTAGTGAACATGAACTGTAAAAATGGTTACTTCTAGGAAACCTAAACTGAATGCTGACTCGGGGAGGTTACATAAAAACTTCCACTCAACTGTTTGCGTGGATCAGCTATAAAAGGTTGAAAGGAAGCTGGGTGGTGGCGTACCCCTTTAATGCCAGCATTTGGGAAGCAGAGGCAGGTGGGTCTCTATGAATTTGAGGCCGTCTACAGAATGAGTTCCTGGACAGCCAGAGCTACACAGAGAAACCCTGTCTCAAAAACAACAAAACAAACAAACGAGACAAAAAAAACTTGTCAGAACTGAGCTGCCAAATGGTATCAGAAGATCCGAGCTTTGAAGGACGCATGCCCGCCCACAAGGCACGGAAGGCTGTGAGAAAGCTGTAGGAGGCAGCATCTGTCCACTCAGAGAAGCAAACACTTTAGTTTTCAGTGTCTACTCTTCTTTATTTATTTTTTTTTAAGATTTTATTTATTAATTACATATACACCAGATTGAATTGTAGATGGTTGTCAGCTACCATGTGGTTGCTGGGAATTGAACTCAAGACCTCTGGAAGAGCAGTCAGTGCTCTTAACCTCTGAGCCATCTCTCCAGCCCCCTTCTTTATTTTTTACTTTTTATGTGCATTGGTATTTTGCCACAGAACTGGAACTACAGACAGTTGTGAGCTGCCGTGTGGGTGCCGGGAGTCAAACCTGGGAGAGCAGTCAGTGTTCTTAACCCCTGAGCCATCTCTCCAGCCCTAGTGTCTACTCTTCTAGATCCAAGCGCACAATGTGCGTTTGCTAGTTTTAATTTCTTTATATATTAAGGATTTTAAAGTTTGGGGGTTTTGAGCCGGGCGTTGGTGGCGCACGCCTTTAATCCCAGCACTCGGGAGGCAGAGGCAGGCGGATCTCTGTGAGTTCGAGGCCAGCCTGGTCTACAGAGTTCCAGGACAGCCTCCTAAGCTACAGAGAAACCCTGTCTCGAAAAACCAAAAAAAAAAAAAAAAAGGTTTGGGTTTTGTTGGTATGTTTGTTTTAGTTGCAGGGTTTTTTGTTTGTTTTGGAGAATTTCATATGTGAGACTGTATTCACATTATTTTTACACCTCTCCCACTCCCTCTAATATCTCCTGTGTCCCCCCTCTCCCATTTTTTTTAAAACATGTTTGCTGTGAGGGGGGCTGAGGCAGTCAGGGAAACTTGTAAGAGTTTTTCTTTCCTTCTACCATGTGGGTCTGGGGGACCAAACCCAGGTTTCCAGGCTGGTGCAGTGAGCACTGTTTGCTGAACCCTTCACTGCTCCTCCTCCCCTTTTGACTGGAGTCTTGGAGATCCCTGTATGGAACTTGCTATGTAGCCAATGATGAACTCTGATTCTTCCGAGTGCTAGGGTTACAGATGGCCACAACCATGCCTAGTGTTATGGGGTGCCGGGAATTGAACAATTGAACCCCAGGCTTTGTGATACTAGACCAACATTCTACCAACTGAGCTGCATCCCTGGTGAGATTTTCACTGTTTTGATCAATTTTTTTTTTTTAAAGTTTTTTTGAGACAGGTTCTCTGTAGCTTTAGAGCCTATCCTGGAACTCACTCTGTGGATCAGGCTGGCCTCAAATCACAGACATCTGACTGCCTCTGCCTCCCAACTGCTGGGATTAAAGATATACACCATCACCTCCCGGCTTGATGACTATTTTAAAAAGATTTTTCAGAGGATCACAGTTTTGCCCGTCAATTACTGATGGCTTCATTGCATCGTATGAACATTTTTCTGATCCCACATTACTGTGCCAGGCTGAAGCCTGATCATGTTTCTGAGTTCAGGCATACATGAGTTTTTGAAAACCTCAACATTCCATACCGTCACTTGTGAAACAAAGATTATCTTTTGGGATTATCTTGTGGTTGCATATTCTATACTGGGTGTACTTGGTGGGTTTTTCAAGCCAGCCAGTGCCATTCTGACGAAGGGAAGCTCATGTCTGATAAATGATAAGAAAACCCTGTTGCTGGCACAGGGTCGCGTCTTCTGTAGCGGTACACCACACTTTCCTGTTTGTCCCCAGCTTTCACACCAGTGTCCCAGTGTTGAAATCCCTATGAGGGTTTCAGCACTTAACCACAGAGAAATGACTTAACTGTTTTTCTACCCTCTGCTTTCAGCTTTGAAAGAACCTGGGAAGTTTGATTTGGTCTATCACAATGAAAACGGGACTGAGGTGGTGGAGTACGCTGTGACACAAGAGAGGAGGGTAAGCCAGCCTTCAGGCTTCCTGTGGGGTAACCAGAGAGGAGGGTAAGCGAGCCTTCAGTCTTCCTGTGGAGGAGCCAGAGAGGAGGGTAAGCGAGCCTTCAGTCTTCCTGTGGAGTAGCTAGAGAGAAGGGTAAGCCAGCCTTCAGTCTTCCTGTGGAGGAGCCAGAGAGGAGGGTAAGCCAGCCTTCAGTCTTTCTGTGGAGTAGCAGGCAAGTGCCAAGTTCCAAAGCAGAGAGCTACCACGAGCCTCCTAGAGCCCACATGACAAGTCACACAAATACCGCCCTTGTATAAAAGCATAGCATTAGATGAAAATTCTAGTTGTGTAGGTTCCCATAGGAGAGGGCCATATGTTAGACTTCATATTACCAAATACCCTGAGAGTCATTGCTATAGCTTGAGCTTAGCCACGTGACCAGACTCAGATCAAGAAGAAACACGAGCTCAGAAGCCTCTGTCATTACCAATTGTTACTGTCCCTCAGATTCCCCAGTCCTGACCTAAGGGGCATAGATGGCATAAAGAATGACATAACATGGTGATTCTGTCCTCTAATAACATATTTTAATGTTTAAGTTACATTTATTTAGTTTGCGTGTGCGCGTGTGTGTGCACTTTCACGCGTGCGTCACCCCATGCATGTGGATGTCAGAAGCCAACTTTCAGTTGTCTGTTCTCTCCTTCCACCACGTGGATTCTGGGGATTGAACTCAGGCTGCCAGGCTTGGCCCCAGGCACCCTTACCTGTTGAGCCATCTTGCCAGCCCTAACATACAAGAGTGCATGGCCTGTGTGTTTCCCTCTGTTCAGAGCCAGAAGTCAGTTGCTGGCAGTAACTTCTTAGTCTGATTATAGTTAAGACAATGTTCCCTCTTTGTGCTCATATTTGAGACATTTTGCTTGTTTTGCTCTTATATTTCAGTGCTGAAAATTCTTGTTTTATCTGTCCTCTGAGTATTTAGAGGCCCAACCAGACTGTGTGCTGCCTGTGTCTTTTAAAGTAGAAGGGCTTGTTGGTTTTTTTTGGTTGTTTGTTTGTTTTGTTTTGTTTTGTTTTTTGAGACAGGGTTTCTCTGTAGGTTTGGAGACTGTCCTGGAACTCTCTTTGAAGACCAGACTGGCCTCAAACTCACAGAGATCCACCTGCCTCTGCCTCCAAAGTGCTGGGATTAAAGGTGTGCGCCACCACCATCTGGCCTGTTTGAAATATTTAAACTGTATGATTTTTTGTTGTTGTTGAAATAATGTTCCTGGAAAAACTGCACGCAGAAAACCTGTAGTTTCCCTTTTTTGACACTAGATGGCTCTCATCACTCACTCGCCAAGTGCTTGGGCATCTCTATTGGCAAATTGAGTGATAGTTCCTGTCTTAGGCAGATTAGGGTAAGAACTACAGAGTGGCACAGAAGGGAGATCAGCCACCTAATACTGACTTCTAGGTCCCATTAGCTCTCAGAGCTGCCTGTCTATAAGGCAGATTCTTCTGATACCTCGTAGCCTCCTTCTCATCACCCGTTCCCTGCTCTAAACCAAGGCTGATAGATGTTTACTGTAAAACTTAGCTGCATTCTGTGTAATTAAAATCAGTGTGCTGATATTAAAGTTATTCTTGTGTTTGTTTTTGTTTTTCGAGACAGACAGGGTTTCTCTGTGGCTTCGGAGGCTGTCCTGGAAATAGCTCTTGTAGACCAGACTGGTCTCAAACTCACAGAGATTCACCTGCTTCTGTCTCCCAAGTGCTGGGATTAAAGGCGTGCACCACTACTGCCGGGCTGAAGTTATTATTATTCAGCCATTCTGCACAGAAATTTACTAACTAACCTCCAATTTCTAGCTTAAAAATTTATGTGACGTCAAAGTGAATTGATTAAATTGGATGTTTTGTGTTTTCTCTCAGATCACTGTGCTTTGGAAAGAGTTGATTGATCCAAGACTGATTATTGACTCCTCCGGTAACATCTCAAGTAAATAGCGTGTCTGCCCATAACCTCTGACCTCGTCGCCTCGCAGTCTCTTAAGTATTGTTTGTGACCGTGATCATAGCCTGAAGTTTTAAAAAGAAGATCGAATGTTATTTGGACTTTCTGTTGTCTTCACTTTACCGTATTAGAAAAGAAAATCTACCTCATCGTTTAGAGTAACGTGGGTGTTAGTTTGTGGATCTTTATTTCTCTCAGACTAAACTCAGTAGCCCGGTAGAAAGCGCGGTGTTCCCTGCGGGCAGACCAGAGTGGCAGTGCTCTCTCTCCTCCACGTCCTGGCCCGCCGGTAGCTACCGTCAGTAGGGTTACCCTGCCACACGCAAGATCGTGCTGTGCATCTTGCTTTTGTTTTTTTAAAAGTCACATTTAAAATACTAAGGCATGTTTCTTGACTTAATTTTTTGACACGTGAGATGTTCTGTTAAGCCTAGAGCATCTCACGCATTCGGAGCATTTTATACTTGTCATCCTCAAGACTTAGTACACCTGGATTTGTTGCAGGTGATAAGTTAAGGATCCTTTCACCTTTTCCAGCTGTAAAACACAGGGTTCTCAGGGCCCTGGTAGAGGCCGTGAGTGGGAAGATGACTTGTCATATTGCCTGGAGGACAGCTGGCCTCCCACTGCCAGAGGGCTGGCCATGAACTTCGGACCAGGGGGCAAATGACCTTGCCACAGGATTCCAGGAGCCTGGTTCAGCATGCTGAATTGAGGATCTTGAACAGAAATTTCCTTTTCTGTTATTATTCAGCAAAGCTAAAAGCTGAATATAAACTGTGAAATTGCTTTCTTTTAACGAAAATGTAGATCCCTCCTTCAGCTTTGCAAATTTTTAAATAAAATCATATTGAAATGGATTCCATGCTGAGTTATCTTGTTTGAGTCCTACAAATAATCATCTTGGTATATAATCATTTTCATAACCTGGGAAGCCAAAGATAGGAAGTTTATAAACTCAGGGACAGCCTGGGCTACACAGTGAGATAGTGTCTCACAAAAAGTTACTATTATTAGTTTGCTTTGACCTAAATCTGTTGTCGAAAGTCTGTTGTTCAGCTGAGTTCCATATGATCTGGGAGCTGTTGGATTAATGGCGATGCTGTTTAGTTAATCTGTATATAGGAAAGTATGTCAAAGTGTGTGCGTGCTGATTTGTAGTTGTAAGTTTTACTCTAGGAGGGCAGCTTTTAAGTGGTGGGACTTAGACAGTGGGGCTCTGTGTACCACTCTGTCTTTCCAAGGCTTGGAAAGCAGTGAGATAAGTAATCAGTATTGACTGGGCTTGGGAGTGATGACCTCAGGGTGTATTTTCAGATGTAATCCGAGTATGAATTGCCCTTCTCTCTATACTGGTAAATAGAGTGCACAGAAAGATGATAAAATCAGTTTAGGGTTCATAAGCTGCTTTCTGAAAAGTATAAGAGCTTAGAAAATAAGTATATCATGTTTTATGAAACTTTTGCCCTATGTGTATATGCACAGCCATGTGTGGACTGGGTCCCCTGTAAAGTATTTGTGTTTATAACGGGCTAGAAAAATGGCTCAGTGCTCAAGAACACATACTTCTTTTACGGAAGACCTGAGCTAATTCCCAGTACTGTCTGATGCCTTGAGCACCCCTCATGAGTACATGCCCATACAAGCATACATACATACAATTTAAAATAAATCTTTAAAAAAATTTTTTGACACAGGGTTTAGCTATGTAGCCCCAGCTGGCCTGGAACTCTTACTTTGTAGACCAAACTGGCCTCAAATTCACAGAGATCTGCTCACCTCTGCCTCGTAAACACTAGGGTTAAAGATGTGAACCATCATGCCTGGCTGAAAATAAATATCAAAATAAAGTGGAGATGAATAGGATACTGGAGACCTTTTTACACACACACACACACACACACACACACACACACACACACGTTCATGCATACACAAAGAATGACTTCTATGATAAATGAATTATTTCTCAGTTTAAAAAGAGAAAAATACCGGCCGGGCGTTGGTATTTTAATCTCAGCACTCGGGAGGCAGAGGCAGGCAGATCTCTGTGAGTTCGAGACCAGCCTGGACTACTAAGCGAGTTCCAGGACAGCCTCCAAAGCCACAGAGAAACCCTGTCTCGAAAAACCAAAAAAAAAAAAAAAAAAAATACCAACATGGCAAGATTGCAGCTGCATGGCAATATGTGTATTAAATAAGGGAAATTAACAAATTCCTCAAAAAACACAAGAAAGAACAAATTAAAATCTAAATTTTTTTATAATTTATTTTATTTTATGTGCATTGATGTGTTTGCCTACATTCATGTATGTGTGAGGGTCCCCTGGGACTGGAGTTACAGACAGTTGTAAGCTGCCGTTAGGGTGCTGGGAATTGAACCTAGGTCCTCTGGAAGAGCAGCCAGTGCTCTTAACCACTGAGCCATCTCTCCAGCTCCTGATTTTTTTAAAAATGTGTATGGATGTTTTGTTTACATGTACATCTGTGCAGCGTGTATACATGTTGTGCCCAGAGGCCAGAAGAGGGCACTGTATCTCTTGGGACTGCAAACAGCTGTGAGCTGCCATGTGGGTGCTGAGAATTGAACTCCAGGTTCTCTGCAAAAGCAACAGCACTCTTTTTTTGTTTGTTTGTTGTTGTTTGTTTTTCGAGACAGGGTTTCTCTGTGGCTTTGGGGAATGTTCTGGAACTAGCTCTTGTAGACTAGGCTGGCCTTGAACTCATAGAGATCCTCCAGCCAGCACTCTTAACCGATGACCTAACTCTCCAGCACCGCCCCATCTCCACCCCAGAGTTTCTCTATGTAGCTTTGGAACTTGTTCTGCAACTCGCTTTGTAGATCAGGCTGGCCTCGAACTCACAGAGTTGCCTCCCAAGAGCTGAAGAGTGCTGTGATTAAAGGCATGGCCATCAAGGCCCAGTTTCCAGCTCTAAATTCTGAGTATTGTTACAGCAGCTTCAGAGATTGAATTCTCACATTGCTGGGGGAATGGATGGCTCAGCTGTTAAGAGCATCTGTAACTCCAGTTCCAGGGGATCCAATGCCCTCTTCTGACCTCCGTGGACACAGGGTGTACATGTACACATACACGCAGGCAGAACAATCATATGCCTAAAGTAAATTGAATTCACAATTCAGAACAAAGGGCATTCTCAACTCACCTTAATGAAGGTGACATGACCCAGATAGCACCACCTGACATAGACATTTTAAATGAGTTTATAGACCACCATCCCTCACGATTGCAGTAAGCAGCGTGCCCTTTGACGCTTAGCTAGTGTTCAGCACCCATGTGTCCACAAGGTGGTGCTGTTGAGAGGCAGGAACCTTTGAAGGCCTAGGGCCACCGAGGAGGGAGGGTGCTCTATCCAGCCAGGCCCTGCCAGGCATCCCTGCCACTAGGTACTTCTACACCACAGGTTCAAAGCAAAGGGACCTATTGATCGCAAAGCAGAACCCCGAGAAACAGAGTCAAGGTTCACCCTTTCCTGTTATTGTGCCATCTCTGGTATTTCATCACCACGATGAGATGCTGACTAACACAGCATCTGTAAGAAATATTAGCAAATCCTGGCTGGCTGTGGTTGCCTAAAACAAAGCCCTAGATTACATCCTCAACCTTCACAGACTGAATGTGGTGACACGTCTATCATTAGTATACTGGAGGTGGAGACCGGAGTGTCAGATGTTCAAGGGGAGAGGAAGAAGGAAGAAGAAGAGAAGAAGAAGGAAAAAGAGATGGTTCATCAGGTAAAAGCGATTGCAGCCGAGTCTGACAACTTGAGTTCTATACATGGAATCCACATTGTCAAAGAAAAGAACCTTCTCCCTCACGTTGTTCTCTGGCCTTTGCATGCATGCTGTGGCCTGCTTGTGCTGTAACAAGCACACACTCCTTCCTGTGAGCACAAACACACATACACACAATTTAAAAATGTTTGTTTGTTTTGTTTTTGGAGACAGGGTTTCTCTGTTTAACAACCCTGGCTGTCCTGGAACTCACAGAGATCTGCCCGCCTCTGCCTCCCAAGTGCTGGGATTATAGGTGTGTGCCACCACTGCCCGGCCTCACAATTGAAAAATTTAAGGACAAAAATTATCAAGTCAAGTTCAACAATATATGAAATGATAATACTTTGTGCCTTTTGGTTGTTCCAAGAATGTGTGTTTCCATTCTATCTGTGCAGCTTGGACGACTAACCACATAAGGTTAAAAAGCACTGATAAGTGTTGACAAAGAGAGTTCCTCTATCAAAACACGATCACAGTTTGGGAATAAAACAAGAACTTGGTTAGAACTCTTTACATTTATGGTTAGGAGTAACTTTGGTGGAAGCAGGAGGAAATTTGAGACCTGCCTGGGCTACACAGTTTCTTTTTCAAAATCTGGGGGTGGGAGTTTGTTTTTAAATGTTTGGGTGGCATGGACATGACAGCACATAAAAAACCCAACCAACCGGGCGTTGGTGGCGCATGCCTTTAATCCCAGCACTTAGGAGGCAGAGGCAGGAGGATCTCTGTGAGTTCGAGGCCAGCCTGGTCTGCAGAGCGAGTTCCAGGACAGCCTCCAAAACAATACAGAGAAACACTGTCTTGAAAAACAAAACAAAACAAAAAAACCCAACCAAACAAAAAAACAAAAATAAGCTAAGAGACCTAAGATTCTGGGACCTCCCTCTCACCATTCAGAGTCCAGTCTGTTATATGCCTATATCACAATAGGTCTTTGTCATTTAGACATCTCTGGCTCTTTTTTTTCCCCCCCCTCTCTCTTAACCTTTGATCATGTTAGCTACACATTCTAGCACTAAGTTACATCCCCAGCCTCTCTGGCTATCTTAAGTGAGACTCAATGTCCTTAACATGGGTTTGAGGATTCAAAGGTGTGTGTTCAAAACACAGCTGAAATTTCAAGAGGACTGCACTAGGTGGGAATAATGATGTCATATTTGCAAAAGACTGAGGCCTCTTCACCGACTCCTCCCAACCTCCAGATACAGAGCAGGGATTCTATCCTGGTTGCTAGGCATCCTTGGATGGGGCCATTTAGTTCCCTCTTGACCAACTGGGTCCCATTTGACTTTGGAACATTGCCGGACTGAAGATACCAGTTACGGTGATAAACAAACACACCCTGCCAGCCACGAGCGGTCCCTGGCCTCCCATCAGCCCACTGTAAAGGTTAACGATTCATGGTGCTCATTACTGCCTACATCTTATGTGTTTACATCTGCACTAAAAGGCTCGGAGATATTTGGGTCTCCCAGCTTCACAGATGAGAAATCCATGCCCTCAAGAAGAGCTGGGCTCTAGGGACACTCCCCTTCACTGTATTAGAAGGCAGAACTGAAACAAGGTCTCTTGAGTAAATCGGGAGTGCAGGGAGCTTGGGGCAGTATGGAAGGGGAGACGGGAAGAGAGAAGGGAAGTGGGAAAATGTATAGCTCAATAAAAACAAGGTAAAAAATTAAAAGTTACTAATTTTTAAAAATGGCAGAACTCTTTGGCTGGTACCCCTCCAGCTCTTGCTCTGTGACCTGCCTGTTATGTAGTAGGTCTTCATGACTCTCTCTCTCTCTTGAAGTTTGATAAACATGGAGTATGACTCTCCTGATGATCTTCATTGTCCAATCAGCCTTTCTCAACCACTCAACCTAAAAAGAGAATTCCACATTCTGCCATGAATCACCAGACTCCACCCACGATAATTAGGTTAGAGGTGGATTTTATAGTGTTTGTTTCCTGGAAACTGCTTTGCACCTCCCTTGGGAGTCAGCCTTTTGTAGTAGGAAATACTTGCCTTCTGGAACCAGATAGGCCCGGTGCCAGTGTCCATTGTCTTAGCTGGATTGCTGTTTCTCTGAGCCTGTGTTTTCTCTGTAACATGGGACGGTTTTATCTCCTTCAGAGGTTATTGTAAGGAGGGTCTCAGCATCTCACCCAGCATCCTTTTGTCTTATTTTTCCATGAAGACAGCTACCACCAGAATACAAATGAGAATAGACAGGATGATAGGTCCTGGGGAAATAGAAACCTATGGGTGTAAATTACTGGAACCAACACTTAGAACATTGAGTTCAGCAGTCCCAAGCTCGAATTCCAGCTCTGTTTGTGACAGTGTCTCAACCTTCACTGTAGGACACCAGTCCTAGGACTTTGTAAGGATTTTTCCCATAATATACTCTTTATTTGTCTGGTACAAAGTAGGGACCTCATAAGCAGTGGCTATTAGAGACCATGGGATATTTACCTTGTCCTCACGGCTGCCGAACCTTGTCATCCAAGGTAAACTCCCATAATTACTCCAAAAACTTCTTCCTGTTTGCCACCATCGAATTTCCCAATGAACACTCAGTAGCTTCCTGTCCACCCATGTGTTCTGCACTCAGCCCACAATGGGGGACCCACAAAACTAAAAACAAAGTAAACCTAAATGAATGATTTTGAGAAAAGTTTGAAGCTCCAATATTGTGTATGCACACATAAGAGAGAAATCATTTGTTAGATTTAGGACTTCCAAAATCCCAGGTAAGTATAAATTGTTATTTTTCTCAGTACTGAAAATCTCTACCACAGACTCTACCACTAAGCTGTAACTTAGTACTTAACAAAAAAAAAGGGGGAGGTCTTGCTATGTAACCCAAGCTGGCCTTGAACTTGCGATCTTGCTGCTTCAGTCTCCCTAGAGAGATTTCTGGGATTATAGGTGTGCTACACCTCACCCAGTCTGGCCTAAGTGAAGAGACTTAAAGAGACATGGTGTTTCTCAATATATCAAATTATTGAAACAATGGACCCCAAAGAAATGGATTTTTCTCCCGAATCTCGTTTTGGGAGAAGCCCAAGGGAAGGCTTGTCTCCTGGAAAGAGATTTCACACAGAAAATTCCAACAGTTTGTCAGGCCAGTTTACAGACAGTGAACCCCAGTGGTGGGCTGGACGGCATGTGGATTGCTTAGATATGTGTGCTTTTGCCTTCTCTTTAAGCTTTGATCTCACTTCAGAATCTGGAAGGTGGGCTTGAGGAGTTTACTGGGTCTCTTTGTGGCCACAGTGAATAAATCTTTGCCTGCTGTCCTCTCTTAATTGTCTTGAGGACTGGTAGCTGGGGCTGATTGAGGCACAGGGTGTGACACCCAGCTTTTGTGATAACAGTCATGTACCATCAATGAACGAAATTGACAGATCTCAGTAGTGACTATGGACCCTGCCTTTAGGGCTTGCCTGGTGATAAGTCAGAGCCCAGGACCAGGGAAGAAATGGGAACTGAACAGAAAGGAAAGGAATACAGGAATGTGTCTGGAGGGAAGGAGAAAAGGAAGGGCAGTCACTTATTGTCCACATAATTGTCTTTTGTTGTTTTTGCTTTCCTTAAATTATTTATTATGTGTTTGGTGTGTGTGTGGTGGTGGGGGTCAGTGGACAACTTCGTGGAGTCTTTTTTTTTTTTTTTTTTTTTAAAGACAGGGTTTCTCTGTGTAGCTCTGTAGACCAGGCTGGCTTTGAACTCACAGAGATCCACCTGCCTCTGCTTCCTGCGTGCTGGGATTAAAGGCTTTGATTTTAATGAGGATAATAAGACCCTTCTTGTTCTGGAGGGGCGGTTGGGACACCTAGGGCATGGATGAATCGTCTCCAAAGCAGTGCTGCTACAAGGTAGGATGGAGGTCCCCAACTATGGGAATAGGAGTTCCCCAACTCCTGTGACAGTTCATCTGCGGGGTGGCCCTGAAACGGTGGTCGTGCTGAGGTCGCTCGGGCCCGCGGGGGGCCATCGGGACTCTGCTTGTCGCTGCACCTTCAGCTTCCAGCACAAGCTCAGAGCCTCCCGCCCGCCACCCCCTCCCGGGACCCACGTGACTTCCTGAAACCCCAGGGCACCGCCCCTCCCGTCCAGTTTCGATTCCTTCACTGCTTCACCGAGCACTGCGCGGTGGTGTCTGCTGCTGTCCCTGCGCGTCCCGTCGGGTGCCCCCAGGAACGCGATGGCCGAGCTGTTTCCTCTGGCCGAGGAGCTGTCGTGCTCCATTTGCTTGGAGCCCTTCAAGGAGCCCGTCACCACTCCGTGCGGCCACAATTTCTGCAGATTGTGCCTGGATGAGACGTGGATCGTCCAGGGCCCGCCGTACAGGTGCCCTCAGTGCCGCACAGTGTACCAGGCGCGTCCGCAGTTGCACAAGAACACGGTGCTTTGCGCGGTAGTGGAGCAGTTCCTGCAAGCGGAGCAGGCACGGATGCTGGCGGACGACTGGATCCCCCCCTGCCCGCTCCGCTGCTTCCAGCTCAGCCACCGAGGTAGCCTGTGACCACTGCCTGAAGGAGGTCGCGGTGAAGACGTGCCTCGTGTGTATGGCCTCTTTCTGCCAGGAGCACTTGAGACCGCACTTCGACAGTCCCGCCTTCCAAGACCACCCCCTGCAGCCACCCGTCCGCGACCTGCGGCGCCGCAAATGTCCCCAGCACAACCGCCTTCGGGAGTTATTTTGCCCCGAGCATAGCGAGTGCATCTGCCATGTCTGCCTGGTAGAGCACAAGACCTGCTCCCCTACACCCCTAAGCCAGGCCAGCGCCGACCTGGAGGTAGGGAATGGCCGCTGAGGGTATAGAGGATATCCCGGGCCAGCTGAATTGTGGAGAGGGCCCACACTGGGTGGCAGTGGCTTGCTGGAGGAGATAGGCTTTACTGGGCCAGAGATCCACCCCTTAACAGGACCTCATGGCTCTAGGCTCCATAGGTCACTGTCTGTGAGTTGGACAGTGCGGGGGGGGAGGTGCAGGGGAGGATGGAGGGGAATCCCCACTGACCAAGCAGAGAACAGGGAGATTATATAGCGCCCCCGCTTACCCATTGCCTTCTTTCCCCAAACCTCTCGTGTCTAGTTTTAGTAGCAGACAGCTGAAGGCACGGGCTAAGGGTGCCTGCCCCCAAGCCTGCGTTTGTCTGATGGTGTTTAGTAGTTTTGAATATTGACTATGAACCCTGGGGGTTACCTCTCCCCCTCCCCCAGATCCTGGCAGCAGGTAAGAACTGTGCGTTCTTAGTTCCTTACACACTTCGGGAAAAGAGGTCCAGAGACTTTAGCTTAGCAATGCTAATGCAGTCTTTGCCCAAATCGTCACAGCTGGGAACCATGCAGCTTTGACTCACAGTTCTGGTTTCTTGTTCTCCAGTAGACCATGTCTGCTGAGTCCAGAGCAGGAAGCGTTCTTAGAGGCTTTTAAGCAGAAGCCTGTGTTGATCCAGAGAGTTCTAATGGACAGGGAGGGTGGGCAGAGCCCCAGGAATCCCTGCATATAACCTTCAGGGAAAGCCAATACTGTCTTTCCATGGTGTGGTCCATCCTTTCCTTCCTTCCTTCCTTCCTTCCTTCCTTCCTTCCTTCCTTCCTTCCTTCCTTCCTTCCTTTTTGAGACAAGGTCTCACTGTGAAGTTAGTTCTGGACCTGGAACTTACAATGTAGACCAGGTGGGCTTCGAACTCACAGAAATCCCACCTACCTCTGCTTCCCAAATGCTGGGACTAAAGGCGTCTTCCACCATGCCTGGCTGGTGTAGTCATTCTTGCTGTGTGAAATTGAGTAAGGATTTAGCCTCTGTACCTAGGTCCACCTTGATAAAGACAGGAGGGGAGGGAGATCAGAGTTCCTGAGGGCCTTCCAGTGTTACGATGATTTTAGGAGCTTTAGGTTTGGAGGCTCCTATCTCCCCCCAGTGGACTCGGTAGAAGCTGCCCCTCTGCCACATTTATTGAAGTGTGGTCTTAACTCATTTCACTGTCAAATGTCTGGGAAGTTGAGACCTGTCTCAGTGTTGTGAAAGGAAACATAAGCCTGGGTGAGGTTGGCAGGCTTTGCAATCGATGCCAGAATCGGGATTCCAGCTCTGCTCCCTCTTACCACAGCCCTTCCCTGACCTTGCCTGGGTCTTAGCCAGGTTCCTCAGGATGCCCGCCCCCAATCTTGGCAGTTGAACTCAAAGGTATATCTTTTGAGTTCACCTCCTCCGTAGCCCCATGTGGGGTATGGACACCTCCCGTGGTATCTGTTCTAGAAGACAGTCTGGCCAGCCTTTGGAGCCTGAGGTGCTGCTTTGCCCCACAGAGCTGTTTGGCTTTAGGCAAGTCACTGCAGATCTCTGGGTAGGTTGGGCCTCCTGGGAAGTGCTTTGGGGGCAGGATCTCGTGACAGAAGGCCTGGAGCTTATGAGGCTCCTACTAGATTCAGTGCCAAGATCTGGGTTTAAATCCTGGCTCCACTTGTAGCTTCTAGATGCAAAATGATAAAATGGGGGACACGGTGGTGCTGGTCTCAGGTTATAGTGAACAGGAATGGAAGCTGGTGTGGTAGCTCAAGCCTGCAGTTCTAGCACTTGGGAAGCTCAGACAGGGAGATCATGAGTTTGAGGCCAGCCTGGAGCTACACAGTTTCAGGTCAGCTCCAGGGTGAGACTCTGTCTCAAGACAACAACAATTGGCTATTGAGATGGCTCAGCTGGTAAAGGCACTTGTTACCAAGGCTACCTGAGTTCGATCCCTGAGACCTGTATGATAGAAAGAGAACCAACTCCAGCAAGTTGTCCTTTGACTTGATATCCATTTGCATGTATGTGATCATGCATGTGTGTGGACGGACACACACACAAATAAATAAATGTAATAAAAATTAAGAAAAAAGCAATAAAAATAAGAAAGTAGACAAGGCAGTCTATAAAAAACAAGTTTCTGCCGGGTGGTGGCGCACGCCTTTAATCCCAGCACTCGGGAGGCAGAGGCAGGAGGATCTTTGTGAGTTCGAGACCAGCCTGATCTACAAGAACTAGTTCCAGGACAGCCTCCAAAGCTACACAGAGAAACCCTGTCTTGAAAAAAAAACAAGAAAACAAAAAACAAAACAAAAAGATTTTCTGCAAAAATCTCCATATAGGTTACTACCATTTTCCTTATTGGGCCTGAGTGGATGAGGCACCCTATGCTCTGGGGCAGCCCAGACAGAACACGTTATCCTGATGGTCTCTGTCATCTTAGTCAAGATGACTCGCCAGTGATCCTGGCGGTAACCTGGCTTCCAAGGAGGGCACTTTTCGAAGTACCTGTTCACCAAGGCAGAAGGCCTGCCTAGCCTGGCCTGAGCCTCTTCTCTCTTGCAGCCTTTTTGCGTAGAGTGGGAGTGAGTGGTCAGCCCCGCTATCCTTTTTAATCCCGATAGCAGGATTCCCCTACCAACCCCTTGCCCGTGTCTTTTTCAACCCGGCTGCTGCTCTTGGTGTTTCAATGCCAGTCCCCGGCAAGCATTGCTCAGTCTTGGCTGCTAGTTTGGGGTGCAGACTCAGGATTCCATTCTCTCCAGTGAGGAGGACCCAGGTCCTTCCTCTGCCAGAAGCGCTCCCAAACTTCAAAAGGGTCTTTATTCTTGATCAGTGGACTGTATCACCACCTAAGTCCTTGAGCTACTTCTCTTTGGTTTGAAGTAGGGTGGAGTGGACCGACCCCCTTGCACAATGAGGGGGCACTGTTATCTGGTTTGATTAATAGTGGATGAATCTCCCAGTGCAGTGCAGTTCTGGAAGTGAGCCAGTTACTAGCTAGCACCCATGTGCTCTCAAGTCTCTTCCAGCTAGGGATGCAGGATCTGCTCAGGTTTGCCCTTTGGCCCAAATCTGTTTCAGTCACTGTTGGAGGCCTGGGGGAAGGGCTGCGTCACAGAGGTTGAATTACTGACCTGGGCTTTCTGGCTAGAGTTTGTGCAGCCTTGATCTCTGTATCCAGCCCTCACATGTGACAGTGGATGCTTGAAATCAGCCTCCAGGTCGGGTCCAGCTCCAGGAGACTCTGATGGAGTAGAGGAAGCAGGAAAGAAGAGAGGGCAGCAGGGTGTTGAGCTAGTAGGCTAGGGGAAGAAAATGTTTGGTTTTTCCCTAGAAATTCCTAGCGTACATAGTTTGGTCACTTGTGTATAAGGTTACTACTAGAACCTGAGCTGTGCCAGTTACTAACAATGTGGTTTTGGATGAGTCACCGGAGTCCTCGGTACCTGGATGTCCCTTCTAGGCATTGCTTTTCACTTTAAAAAGTTGATAGGCGTCAGGTGCTGAAGAGTGCCTGGTGTGTGTAAGCCTTCATAACAGCCCTCATTATGGCAGTTGAGGGTTCCTTCTTGTCTCAGTAGGCCACCATCCCATCTGAGCAGGGACACAGGAGACCATGCTTGTGGAGTTGGCTAAGAGCCAGGTGGTTTTGAATCAGCTTAGCTGTTTCAAGCCTGGATGAGACCAGCTTATCCTGATTCCCAGCCTTTGGTGGTCCCAGCCTGGGGTGGCCAAGAACAGTCAGATATCTGTCCCCGCTTTGCTGACAATTCCCTTCTGCAGTTCGAAGGCGCCTCTGGGGATGGCAGCCTTGAGTGCTGGGCTCTTTTGCTGGGTCCCCTTCACCTGGAAACCCCACTGCTTTGTTAGTTCTCCGGCGTCTTGTAGCGTATCTTAGATATTTTGTCTGCTTTTCATGTGTGTTTGCTGTGGTAGGGTGAGGACCCGCCATTACAGAAACAGCTGTCCCAGATCATTATGTCTCTGTGAGCGTGGCCACTCACTATCCCCCTTGCTTGGCTTTCATGAGCCGTGAAAGGAGCAGCAGGAAAGAAATGTGTTGAATAGAAAGAAGCTGACATTGAGTATGGCCTTGGGCAGATCCAGACTGTGCCCTGAGCATGGGTCTTGCATTGGTTAGTCTTCCTGCTAGCCCCTGTAGGCAGACACAGCGGTTTCTGTTCATGGCCAAGGAAATAGGCCAACGACACATAGCTGGGAACAGGATTTCCAACAGTCCTTTTGGTCCCAAAGCTTAATGCTTCTGTATTGTCTGCCTAAAGGGGTAAAGGTGGGCATCAAATGCAAGAATCCCAGGGTAGGCAGAAGTACCAGTGGGATGGATGGTGAGGATGGTCCCCAGTGTGGGGAGATGGGAGGCTACGCTAACGAGGGGATCTCTCACCCTGTGTTTCCTCTACAGAATAGGCTGAGGCATAAACTCACCATCATGTACAGTCACATCAGTGGGGCAACCCGAGCACTGGAGGATGTGAGAGCCAAGCAGCAGGGTGTGCAGGTGAGTGTCACCCCTACCCCAGCCTGGAAACGCCACACCATCCATCCTTCCTGGAGGGCAGACACAGTTACGACCTGGATGTGACGAGGAGTGTAGCTCTGTCAGTAGAGTGCTTGTGTAGCTCCCTTGAAGCCTCGGGTTACATCCTAGCACCACAGAAACTGTGGTGTGGTGAAATGCGGTGAGATCGGAAGCTCAAGGTCATCTTTGGTTACATAGTGAGTTCCAGACCAGCCTGGGTCCATGAGACCTTGTCTTTTGTTTTGTTTTTGTATTTGAGACAGGGTCTCACTATGTAGCTCTGGCTGTCCTGGAACTCACTCACTATGTGGACTAGTCTGGCACTGAACTCACAGAGACCTGCCTATCTCTGCCTCCTGAGTGCTGGAATTAGAGGCGTGTACCCCCATGCCCGGCATGAAACTCTTGTCTTTAAAAAAAAAAAAAGCACTAGAAGGTGGTGGTGCTTGCGTTTAATGCCAGCAATCCCAGTTCTTGTGGGAGGCAGAAGCCAGCGGATCTCTGTGAGTTTGAGGCCAGACTGATCTACAAGGTGAGTTTCAAGACAGCCAAGGCTACACAGAGAAACTCTGTCTTGAAAAAAAAAAAGTCTTCCATTCAAAAAGCTACATGTCCAAGAAATAGCCTTTATAAATACAAATTGAAAGCCACCTGTAAGTTCAGCCTTAGGAGAACCATTACAAACTAAGGGTAAGGGGACTAGAAAGATGGCTTAGTTTGTAAAAGTCATTGTTGTGTAAGCCTGACACCCTGAATTAAATCCCTGGAATCCAAGCCAAAGTGAAGGAGAGAACCGACTCCATAGAGTTGGCCTCTGACTTCCAAATTCATGCTGTGGCACACCCCTCCACCCCAATAGTAAATAAAAACTAAGGATAAATAAATAGGCCAGGCATGGTGGTGCACACCTTTAATTCCAGCACTCAGGAACTAGAGACAGATAGATCTCTCTCTGTGAGTTCTAGGCTAGCCAGGTCTACATGGTGAGACCTGATCTTAGCAGGGGTTGGTGCTAGAGAGATGGCTCAGTGGTTAAGAGCACTGACTGCCCTTTTGGAGGTACTGAGTTCAATTCCCACAACCACCTGTAATGAGATCTGGTGCCCCCTTCTGGCATTTAAATATTAAATATTTAAATATTAAGTAAATAAAATTCTTCTAAAAGAGGAGGAGGAAGCAGAAAGAAGAGGAGGAGGAAGAAGAGTAAGAAAAAGAAAGAAATGTGTCCCGGGGAGAATTCTTCCTGCCTCTTCCAGCTTCTAGAAGCTTCCTTGTCTTGTGGCTGCCTCCATTTTTCCCTCCTGTGCCTTTTCTTCGATCTATAAGAAGACCCCTGCCATTTGACTCAGTACCCATCTGGCTAACACAAGACGATCTCACTCTTAAGTACATTTGCTGTTCTAACAGAGGCGATATTCACAGGCTGACATTAACTAATAGGATATACAGGAAGAAACACTATGAAGGAAGTATCACAGGCTAGCAGTGGGCATGTTGCCGTGTTAAATCAATGGCAGATTTATTATCCATTTTCCATTTAAATCAGCCAGGCGTGGTGGCACATGTCTTTAATCACAGCACTCAGGAGGCAGAGGCAGGTAGATCTCTGTGAGTTCAAGGTCAGCCTGGTCTGCAAAGCAAGTTTCTGGACAGCCAGGGCTGATACACAGAAAAATCCTGTCTTGAACCTGCTCCCCGGCCCCCCAAAATTTTAAATTACTTTTAATTTTTCTAAAAATGTAATTTTGTGTCTGTGGGTATTTTGCCTGTTTGTATGCATGTACCACATCCATGCCTGGTGCCTGTGTAGATCAGAAGAGTGTGTCAGGTCCCCTAGGACTGGAGTTACATATAGATGGTCATGAGCCTCCATCTGAGTGCTAAGAATCAAAACTGTCCTCTGGAAGAGCAGGCAGTGTTCTTAACCACTGAACTGTCTCTACAGTGCCATATTACCTTTATGTCGAAAGAAAGGAGCTGGAATTTAAAGAATACCATTGCTGAGCTGCAGCAGCTGTGCTTTTGTTGAGGGTCTGGCTTGTGTGGCTTCAGCTGTGTTGGTGGAGATGAAACTTTCAACTCCCCCCCCACCCCACGCAATGCAACCACGGCTCCTCTGAGGAGATAAGTGAGAGCTACAGGGTGAAGATAGAATTATGAATACTGGTTGGAGGGCAGGCTAACCTAGCACGAGGATCTGTTCAAATGTAGAGACTTCAGTAAGGTGGTTCACAGCCTAAGCCCACACAAGAGCAACTCTTGACCCTTCTCGGCTTTACTCCATGTGAACGTTCCTACTGCCCTACTATCCGCAGTGTGATGCTCTCCTGTCTTTGATTGAAGCTGGATTTTTTTTTAAAGCCAAAGGCTGTTACAGAAAGTGGCTGTCAAGGCAGACGGCGCTGAAGAACAAAGATGCTGGCAGACCCAGGATTGCACAGGCCGTAATATAGTAATTGGCAGGAGGATATAAGTAGTGACAAAACAAGAGGGTCCTTGTGTCACAAGGTGGGAGGAAATGGGTTATGTGCTGAGGTAGGTAAAGGTGGCCCATGGCCAACTGGAATGTACCTAGCTCTTCTAAAATAATAATAATAATAACAACCATTAACCGCCCTGTAGAGTTTGGGATTTGTGTTAGGGTCATCTGGCAGTTACTCGACCAAGATGGCAAAATTCAGGCAGAGCTGGGTCCTTACTCTGGGTCACCTTTACCTGCTTGCTCTAGCCTGGGAAAAGGGGAACAAGATGGAAGACACCAGCAACAAACAATTTCCTCTTAAGCAATCAATGTGGTGTTGCACAAACCACTTCTAGCCTTGCCTCACGGGAGGCAATTTAGCCACTTAGCCACCTTGACTAAGCCCAGTTGCAGGGTAGTCTGGGAAATGTAGTCTGAGAAGCTGTATACCCACTTGACACTCCTGGAGTGTTCCCTTATTAAAGAGCAAAAGAGGAAATGAATACCGAAGGATACTGGTGTTCACAGAGGAGGTAGAAGAAAGGGCTGGAATGAGACTTGAGGGTCAGTGAAATAGCTCAGTGGGTAAAGGGGCTTGCTGTACAAGCCTGACAACCTGAGTTTGACCCCCAAGTCCAGTGGAAGAGAACCAACTCCTGAAAGTTGTCCTCTGACCTCTTGGGGTATGTGTATACAACAACAAAATAATAATGACCAATAATAAATTTAACAATTTTTTAAAAGTTGAATTCCACTCCTTTGGTGTACAGTATTTTTGTTTGTCAGGTTTGATTCTGAACTATTGAGGTTACCCAAGAAGTTTGTTCAAAATTACAACTGTTGAAGCAATATTGTCTACCAGAAACATTCCAGACATCTCTGATTTTCTTGTTTTGTTTTTCCAAGATAGGGTTTCTCTGTTTAACAGCCTTGGATCTAGTTTTGTAGACCAGGCTGATCTCGAACTCACAGGGATCTGCCTGCCTCTACCTCCTGAGTGCTGGGATTAAAGGTGATACCACTGCTGGGTGGTATCAAGTCTTTGACATCCAGTGTCGACTCAAGGTCATGATAGATCTCTTCTTGAACTTGGCACATTTCAAATGCTCAGCAGCCATGTGTAACACTCAAAAGAGGAGTTCTAGGGAATAATTGTCTTCTGGAAGATTTTGAAATTGTTTCATGCCTTCTTTTAAACATTTTCTAGGGGCCAGGTAGTAGTGGCACACACCTTTAATCTCAGCACTCAGGAAGCAGAGGCAGGTGGATCTCTGTGAGTTCGAGGCCAGCCTGGTCTACAGAGCGAGTGTCAGGCCAGCCAGGGCTATGCAGAGAAACCCTGTCTTGGAAAACAAACGATGATGTCTGCAGTGCATCCCTGTGTTTTCCCTTGTCAGACGGATCCACGTGTGCCTCCAGTTTATTGTTTGACGTCCCATCCTAGGATCGGTTCCCAGACTTTGCATCAAGTCTCTCCTGTACTCAGCTTCCCCACCCCTAGACAGCCACAAACACTTGGGCTCAAGTGACCCTCCTGCCTCAGTCTTCAGAGGAACTGGAATAACAAACATGTGCCACTGTGACCAGCTCACTTTTTGCTGTTTCAAACAATGTTGCTTGTGAACAATTGTCTCCCCTCCGCCCCCACCCCAGTTTGGAGACGAGGGTCACACATAACCCAAGCTGGCCTCGAGTATGTTATGTAGCCAAGGATGACCTTGAACTCCTGGTCCTCCTGTCTTAGCCTCCCAAGTGTTGGGATTGCAGTTGTGAGTCACCATACCTGACTGTGCTTGCTAATATTCCTTTTGTTGTTTTGTTTGTTTTTTGAGACTGGGTTTCTCTATGTAGCCCTGGCCATCCTGGAACTCAGTCTGTAGACCAGGCTGGCCTTGAACTCAGAGATCTACCTGCCTCTGCCTCCAGAGTGCTGGGATTAAAGGTGTGTGCCAATAGCATCTAGTGCTGTATGTGCTTTTTGGGGCAGGTGCTTAGGGGTATTTTCCTAGGAGTTGGGGTTGCTGGGTCTTGAGGGTGTGATCACCTCCAGATAGACGGGGACATTGCCAAGTGGCTGCCCAGAGTGGTGCCATGAAGTGTCATACAGGTCCTGGTGCTCCCCTCTCTCCGATACACAGGAGTGCGGCCTTAGCATTTTCACCCGCCTGACAGGAGCCCCTTCATCTTGGCCTTGTAGGACTCCATGAAAAGGAAGATGGAACAATTGAGGCAGGAATACATGGAAATGAGGGCTGTCATTGATTCGGCGGAGACCAGCTCCATGCGCAAGCTGAAGGAGGAGGAGAAGCGGGTCTACGGAAAGCTGGACTCCATCTACCAGGTTCTTGTCAAGAAGAAGAATGAGATGCAGAACCTGAAGGGGGAGGTCGAACTTGCCCTGGCCAAAGGGGACGAGTTTGAGTTTCTGGAGGTGAGTCATGACGAGGGTGTTGCTGTGTGTGTGACGGTCCCAGAGTCGATAGTAGTCGAACTCACGGAGTTGGGGCTGGAAGTGTCCCGGAGACACGCTCTGTTTCTATGCTCTGCAATAGCTTGCCTGATTATTGTTCCACTGTTCCCTTAGCTCAGTATCTGGGCGTGGCTCCCTGTTGTTGACAAGGTATCAGCGGTCTAGCTGCAGACTGGGCTGTTTTCCAAGGGCACCCGACTACAGGCAGAGTTTAAGTTTCTCGGGGCTATAGATCACGTGTACACTTTCTTGCTGGCTGGCTGCTGAGGCCTTCTTTCAACTTGGCAGCACGTGCTTCCTAAAGCCAGCAGGAACATTCCTTCCTCTAGGAAGCCCGCTTTCCTCTATTAAGGTCTTTTACCCAGTTAAGCATCCAGCCCGCCCCTCCTCCCCAGGATAATCACCCTCTTGATTAATTCTTTTATCTGGTTTGATGTCTTCCTATTTTCCTTGTGAGCTTGTTGGGCAGTAACAGCCTATCCCATCTGCCCTGTGCTCAAGGAGACGGTTATGGAGGTTGTGGATAAGAGGAGAATCGTGGGACCATCTCAGTATGTCACTCACTATACAGGTGTGACATACTGTCTCATCCTGTCTTTTCTCACACGGTCCCTGAAAATGTCTTTCTGAAGCACGGCTGTCCTGCTCTGTCTGGCCCCGTGTTTCTTAGCATGGTCCACGAATGAGGTCCTTGCTGTCCAGAGTTGGTCTTTGCTGTCCAGCCCGTCTCTTGCCCGTACCCTTTGTCTATGCCTGTGTTCTGACCACAGCAGGCTCTGCACTCTTCATTCCCACGGAGTGGAAACACAGTGTTGATCTCTTCTGCCCAGTGGACTATGTCGTTTTTCCAGGGCCACCCCTTGAGCCCCGCTGTTACACATTATTAGTGTGGCAGAGTATGCCCCACCCCACCATCACCACAGCACTAAAGATGCCATTTCAGAGGGGCTTGTTTTTGTATATCCTGTGGCAGTAAGCCACATCTTGTCACTGCCCCCAGCTCCCTCGCCTGTCACGTGTGGGGCCCAGATCTCTGTGATCTACCTGCTTTGGTTCCCCAAGGACCTAGATTCCCTGCTCAGGACAGAGAAGTACAGGAGTGACAGAACTTGCTGTGTGTGTGATGCCTGCTGGTGCCCTGGTGGAGGTTTTATGCTGCCCCTGGGACTCATGCCTGTGCCTAAAAACTGCTGAGAAAGGATTCAAAGTCCTTGTCTGAGTCCCCCTCATTCTGGAGGACTCAAGTAAGTGGAATAACTTTGCAACTTCAATGGCACCCCCATCCTGACCCCCATCCCATAGAAGATGTCTTAGATCAACCTTGTATGCCATCAGACATTCCTGCCCATTATCAGGCCTTCGGTTAGGGCTTCATTGGGTTGGAGGGTTCTGCATTTCTTGAGAGGAGAGGAGGAGCTCCAGAGACTCAGGCCATCATGTTTGTGCCTCTCGTTGGCACAGTTTCTGGCAAGCCACTTGCCATGTCTAGACCTCTTTCCCGATTTGCAGGATAAATGACCTCTGAGGTCCTTCCAGGTTTTTATTTTTTATTTTTATTTTTTATTTTAATGTGTGATGTCCAGAAGAGGACATCGGATCCCATCATAGATGGTTGTGAGCCACCATGTTGGTTACTGGGAATCGAACTCAGGACCTCTGGAAGAGCAGCCAGTGCTCTTTACCGATAAGCTGTCTCTCCAACCCCCAGCTCCAGTTCTTAAAGGAGCACTTCAGTTGCTGGTGACCTTGGGTTTGTGATTGAAGCAGGCAGTTGGACTCATTGTTGACATAGGAAACACCTTGTGGGGTTGGTGAGGATGGAGTCCAGGTCCTGGCTTCCTGCGAATTGTCTGTACTTAACGCCTCGGCTTGTTACAGAAAGCGGCAAAATTGCAAGGGATGTCAACGAAACCAGTCTACATCCCCAAGGTAGACCCAGACTACGAGTTGATAAAGGGGATCTACCAGGGTGCATTGGACCTCAAGAATGAGCTGAAGCGCTCTCTTAAGCAACTACAGGAAAAGAAGGTTGAGGAGCCCCCTAGTCCAGGTAACTACAGTGACCCGAAACTGATGGTTCCCTTGGCGCCTTAGGGTGTGATCCAGAACATCAGGACTTGAATTTCAGGGGTCCTAAAACTGCCTTCTCCCTTGAATGTGTCTCTCTTTGTCTTGACATCACAACTATCCTTCCAAAAAGAGGTTTGGGACGTGGTGTTCTGATGGACTCTGGAGACTAGCTTGGATGGGTTTTGGGTGACCCTGGACTACCAGCATGTTTGGTGGACAGGGACATGGCTAGTTCCAGGATTAGAGAAACCTGGAATTCCTCCTTGGCACACTTTTCCTTTCTTTCCTTGACATCTTAGCCATCTTTTCACTGCTTCACACACGCACGCACACACACACACACACACACACACACACACACACACACACACACACACGCCATTTATTTCTGGGTACTGATCCCAATGTATGCTAGGCAAGCACTCCACCACAGACCCATAACCCCAACCCTTGTTTGTTTGAAACAAGATCTCTTCATGTGGCCCAGGCCATCTGCCACCTCCCAAGTACTGGGATTACAGGTGTGTACCATCACACCTAGCCGTCAAGTTTTTTTTCTCTTCTGCCTCTGGGGCTGTTGTCTGTTGTCAAAAGCTGTCCCAGAGCGCTGAAGATAGAGCCTGACACATTTGTAAAATCCCTGTTGAGTAACACAGGTGATAGCCTTAAACTTCAGTGTGGCCAACCCAGTGTCCTTGCTGAAGGGATTCTGAAACAGGTGAAGATGAGGCACCTTGTGGAAGGTTCTGGAAGTACTTCACATGGGGTAAATCTGTGAGCAGCTAGCCTGCCAAAAGAACTAGTGGACAAGAAACTGACATTGGCCTAGTCAGTAGACACCTTGACCTCATTTCGGGGTCCCATCAACCATCATCAGGTTAGGGTTCTCCTTGATGGATAGCCAAAGAAACCAGATCTCAGAGAAGTGTCAGAATTGTGGTGCTGAGGAGGAGATTTCACCCCCAGTTGCCTTTTAAGAAGAGAAGAGAAGGAAGGAGCAAATTGGTCCCGCTAGCATTTTATTTCTGTCTCTTGTAAATGGCTGGATGGTCAGTGGGAGGGCTGTCTGTGTGGATGTTCTGCCCACAGCCTTGACAAACCTACCTCTTGGAGTTGGTGGGGAGGAGCCGCCCACAGCCAGCCCCTTTTCTCTGGCACAGGTGACATGGGAGATCATAGTACAGAGTCCACAACCAAACATCGCCCCAAGAAGACCCAACGTAAGTAGCCCCCTCTCATCTCTCTGGTGTCACTGTGGCTGTGACTGACAGGTGCTTGGCTGAAATCATCGTAGGCCACTGCAGCTTCCAGACAGTCACAGCTCATCCCAAGTTTCACCAGGGTCTCAACTGGAGAAGTGTTCTAAAACAGGCCCCGTATAACAGGTGGTACAGGACCAAGCAGACACTCCTGGGGCAGGAAAGGTGACTTTTTGCCATCCACACTGGCTGTATGGGATAGCAAAGTCACCAAATCTGTCATATGTTTGAGAAACATTTGGTACTCCAAACCCAGTCAATAAGTGTGCTCTCTGCCCAACTGACTTTATTTATTTTTTTTAAAGATTTATTTATTTATTATGAATACAACAGCCTGCTTCCATGTCTGTCTGCAAGCCAGAAGAGGACACCAGATCTCATTATGGATAGTTGTGAGCCACCATGTGGTTGCTGGGAATTGAACTCAGGACCTCTGGAAGAGCAGCCAGTGCTCTTAACCTCTGAGCCATCTCTCCAGCCCCTACCCAACTGACTTTAATGCCCACTGTTGTTGCAGTATTTCTCCCTCTTTTTTTTTTAATAGTTCCTGTCTTTAATGCGCTCACGCTTGCGTGTATGTGTGTGTGTGTGTGTGTGTGTGTTTATGCTTGTGTGTGGGAGTGTGTGAAAGTCAGAACTCAACCTTGTTTGGGACAGGGTCTTTTGTTTGCCATGGCATAAGGCAGACTCACTGGTCTGAATGCTTCTGGGATTCTCCTATGTGCATATGCCGTCTCACTATGAGAGTTCTGGGACAGATGCATGCTACCCCATCTAGCACTGTCTGGGGTCTGAAGGTTTGAACTCACGTCCTCATGCTAGCATAGGAAGTGCCCTTTGCCCAGTGAGCTGTCTCCCCAGCCTCGAGCTTCTCACTACTTTCCTCTATGGCCCCTCCCACTGAGCCATAGGAAAATGTTTCCCTAATTGTCTCCACCGGTGAAAATCTGATTCTACATGTGGACAGTATATTGGTTTTTTATAAAAAAGAGTAAGCAGGGCCAGGCGTTGATGGCACACGCCTTTAATCCCAGCACTCGGGAAGCAGAGGCAGGCGGATCTCTGTGAGTTCCAGGCCAGCCTCTTCTATAAGAGCTGGTTGCAGGACAGCCTCCAAAGCCACAGAGAAACCCTGTCTCAAATAAACCAAAATAAATAAAATAAATAAAATAATAAAATAATAAAGTAAAAAGAGCAAGCAGCGCATGGTGGTTACATGCCTTTAATTCTAGCACCTGTGAGTTTGAGGCCAGCCTGATCTACATAGTGAGTTCCAGGACAGCCAGGGCTATGTAGAGAGACCCTGTCTCAAAAAAGGAAAAAAAAATAAAGAAGGAAAGGAAAGAAAGAGAACTTTTTTGTTTTTGTTTTTTTTCGAGATAGAGTCTCTGTGTAACAGCCCTAGCTGTCCTGGAACTTGCTTTGTAGACCAGACTGGTCTTGAACTCACAGAGATCCACCTGCCTCTGCCTCCCAAATGCTAGGATTAAAGGCATGTGCCTGTTCTCCTCCTCCATCAGGGATGGTGTCACTGTCGTTGAGAATGTGAATATTGGGCTGGAGAAGGATAATATGAGTCTCCTTGCTCTTCATATTTGGAAAGTAATGACAGTTGAGCCCAAGGGATGAAGGCACTTGAAGTTCCCATGGGACACACTGATTGTGAGAATTCTTTGTAACCCCTTTAAACAAGCAAGCTAACTATTTCCCCGAGGTCAGTATGGGAAGGCACCAGGCTACCCGCTGCTAGTGGTGTCAGGGTTGTAAGAGGACTCTGGGTGAACCTTACTGCTTGTTGCTTATAATGTGTGAGTTGTCTTTAACAAACCGCTGTTGGGCATTGGTCTCTCTGTGGACTAGGACACCGAGAGACAGGGTGTGCTTGGAAGAACCTTGGGGAAGACAGGATGTTTTTAAAGCACTAGTGTGATACTTAACCAAGACTGTTTTTTTCCTGACCTCCTCTTTTTTGCTTGCTTTTTTTTTCTTTTGCAGAGTTCTAATCTGCCTGTAGCAAAATGCACAGACACTAAATGCACAGTTAAATACATCTTTCACAAATGGGTCCCATTTTATCATTACCCAAAACCAATGCAAACACTTCCTAGAAAATTCCTTCCTATTTCCTAATAGTCAGCCTGTTCTTGTAGATATGTGCTTGCCAGCCACCCCCTTATATTTCAAGTTAGGCTAGCCTCCCTTAGTTTTTAAGTGTCAAACACATGCTGATAAGTGTTACTATGTGTATAGCAATGTGCTTTATAATTCCTTAATCCTAAAATCTTTCTTTTTTAGAGGAAAAGAAGACCAAGAAAGCACGTAAGTTGTGCATTTGTGTATCTCTTGCTTCTCATGACTTGTTTGAGCCTAGAGCTAAGGTTGAGAGCAACAGTTGAGCTTTTTTAACAAGGGCTCTGCCATGGTCTGGTTCTTACAGGCCTGAGCAGGGACGGGAGGCCACCGTAGATGAGTAAGACAGATAAAGAGCCTTCTCTGGACTCACTTGTGTGGACCTGGCTGGTCAGATGTGTTTGTGGGAGTTGACACCCATCTTAGAAGGGAGGAGAGGTCATCCTGTCCTCTGTGTCATATTGCTGTTTCGTGTTTGTCTTCCCTCATCTCTCAGCTGCCGCCGCCAGCTCCACTCCCAGCTCTTCCTCATCCAACAAGTTTCCCACCTTTGTAGCTCCTGGACAGTCAATGGAGTTTAAAACAACTGTCCCCGATGGTGAGTTGTGACCGAGTGCCAGGGAAATATCTACCGTTTGTCCCGAGTTTGCCTTGAATACCTCTCTGTTTCCTCTTCTAGCTACACCCAAAGACAACACCTCACAGCCAAATTCTACTGCACTCAAAGCTAAGATACTAGAAAACTTCTTAGCCAAGTCTAGAGCCGAGCTTCTGGAGTGTGAGTAGTTTGACTATGTGGATGGAAGAGTGGGTGGGCAAATACATGCATAAATGTAGATGGATGGGTGGGCGGGTGGACAGTTAGGTCGGTGGATGAATAGACAGATGAATGGGTGGTCAATATACCAGCGAGTGGGTAATTGAATGGGTTGATAGGTGGTGCCTGTATCTGAGTGGGTGTTTGGAGAGATAAATGGCTAGTTGGATGGGTGGGCGGGTGGGTGGGGAGGTAGATGGATAGGTGATGTGAATGGGTAATTGGATGAATGGGTAGGTGTGTGTATGATTAGGTAGATAGATAGATGGTTAGATGAGTGGGTGGGTGAGTGAGTGAATGGATGGATGAACGGATGTAGTGTGAGTAGATACATAAATGGGTATGTGGATGTGTGGATGGATAAGTGAAAAGCTGGGTGGATAAAATAAATGTATAGATGGGGAAGGCTTTAAAAGTGAAAGTACCTTGGGCCTCTTGTCGTTGATTCTCCGGGGGATGTTTTCTCAGATTCCGTTAAAGTCATCTTCGACTACAATACTGCCCACAACAAGGTGGCTCTGTCAGACAACTACACCACCGCCTTTGTGGCTGATGGACTTCAGCAGTACCGGTCCCATCCCCAGAGGTTCACCTACTGCTCTCAGGTTCTGGGGCTGCACTGCTATAAGAAAGGCATTCACTACTGGGAGGTTGAGCTGCAGAAGAACAACTTCTGTGGTGTAGGCATCTGCTACGGCAGCATGGAGCGGCAGGGCCCCGAGAGCCGGCTGGGCCGTAACGCCAACTCGTGGTGTGTGGAATGGTTCAATAACAAGATCTCTGCCTGGCACAACAACGTGGAGAAAACCCTGCCCTCCACCAAAGCCACTCGAGTTGGGGTACTTCTGAGCTGTGACCATGGCTTTGTCATTTTCTTTGCTGTCACTGAAAAGGTCTATGTGATGTATAAGTACAAGGTGGACTTTACTGAAGCCCTGTACCCCGCCTTCTGGGTGTTCTCCTCGGGTACCACACTTTCCATCTGCTCCTCCTCCAAGTAGGCAGGTCACTAGGCCAGCCTCAGACAGTTGGATTTGCTGGGGAACATCCAAGACTGCTGAAAAAAATGCTGTAGGATTCTCTTTGGCAAACTTCTGAGTTGTCAACAGATAGGAGATTGGGAAGAGAGTTGGGGGAGAGGCCGAGAGAAAAAAAAGGGGAGATTTGGCTCAGAAAGGGGTGGGGTGATTGTCTTGTGGGTGGGGAAGCATTATCTACCTCCTGGCACCCTGAGGGCAGGGTGACCTCCTCCCAGTGCTCTGGGAAATCTCAGGCTGTTAGCTACTTGGGCAGAACTTCAGAGAGGAAAATCATTAGTGCTTCCTGTTGGCTTACAGAAAATCTGTAACTATGTTTTTTCTCAGGTGATGGATGTCCACTCTCTGGGGTAGCCTTCAGAACTTCATGTTTTGATTATGCTCTAGATTAAAAAAAAAAGCCAGGTGTGGTGGCACACACCTTTAATCCCAGCACTTGGGAGGCAGAGGCAGGTGGATATCTATGAGTTCCAGGCCAGCCTGGTCTACAGAGTGAATTTCAGGATAGTCAAAGCTACATAGTACGACTCTGTCTCAAAAAAACAAACAACAAACAAAAATCCAGTCTGAGTTCAGTGTATATATTATCTCTTTGGAGCTAGGTATTGAATCTAGAGTCTTTATATGCACTACTACTGAGATCCATGCTACTCTGAACCCATATTACCCTTCCTCCAAGGAAACTTTTGTAGATAAGACTTCAAACTCTCATCTGAATCAAGGCAACCCCGATCCAGTTGAGACAGAATTTCTTCCTCTCCAAGGGGCATCTCACCAGGGCCATGTTGATTGTGGCCATAGAGCTAGAGAGGCCTTTCTTCCCATAGCCTATGCTGGGAGTGGAGACAGGGGAGCAGGATCCTGACTGGATTAATGTTAGCCTGATGGCTTTGCTCTTACCAGTGTCTTGCCTTGACAGCTGTCTTCATCAGTAATGTCCCCCTTCTCTGGATTGTAGATACTGGGCTATGACTATAAAGGTCACCTTTTGCCTTCTGTGGCTACCATGGTTAAGTGGCCAGCCACACCACATCCCCGTACCCTACCGTCATGCAGATTCATGGTTGCTTCAGGAGCCATGCTAGATCACCCACTGAGGTGACTACCTATGGTCTGAGGGACCTGTGGGAGACAGCCATATTCCTGTTTTTCCCTAGTCACAGACTACAGGCCCACTGATGCGTCTAAGACCCATCACCTAACCTGTCCTGTTCATCTGTCTTCCTCATTTGAGCCAATTCCAGGTGCTCATATAGACCGAACTGTAGGTTAGGAAGACCTTTAAGGATGAGAAAGAAGCCAAGGAGGTCTGGCCAGTGGCTGTTTTTTTCTGTGGTCTTTGATGCAGTGAAAATGGCCCAGACCACTAAAGGACAGGGATGGACCACTGTAATCTACCCACCCTCCTTCTGTACTGATGTCAAATCCAGAACATGTGAGGATTTGGCCTCTGTGACAGGAGTCCAGCTCCCTTTCCTAAGTGGGGAGCTCCCTCTTGTAAGCCTTCCTATGAAGAGAGGTCACCATAGGGGAGGTAGGGACCCTAGACCTTTCATATGGATGGACATCTGAGAACATAACACATTTCAGATCTTGTAATGGAATCCCAGGGCTATTACCTAGCATTGGCATTCCTGACAGATGTGTGATCTGTGTCCTCTCCCAGAGGAATGTTCTGTTTCCTGGGAGCATCTTTGCAGGGCACATGTCCTGTAGATGATGTGTGGCCTTTGAAAGCTTTTTTTTCCTTTGATATACAAGTTCTTTGGTGATTCTTCTCTGAATTTGAAGATGCCAATCTTCTGAAACAAAGCTTTGTTTGAAACCAAGACAGACTTGGGAAATATCTAGGTTTAGAGAAGCAGAATGCCAAGGGTTAACTGAGGGGTCCTCCTTGGACTCTTCTACAGAAATGGAACAGACAGTCAAGACTCTTCCCAGGCTCTGTACAGCTCAGGTTAGGACGTATCTCTTTGTGAGAGAGCCAAGCAGGCGACCAAAGCCCAGAGCTGCTCGAGGTGCTTTGGAGCTGTAAGCGGAGGAGTGTACCCTTGCTGTCTGGTACCTTTCTGTTTGCAATGGCAAGACCTCTTCTTGACCATACCCATAAACGTGTCTGGAAGCCTGTACCATAGGGTCCTGGAATGGACAGAGTCGGTGTATCCATCTCACCTCTCCTTTCGAGAGCCAGGCAGGTGGGAAGGTGGAGGATGGCTCTGTTCACCATTCTTGTCATTCCAACATGGAAGAGACACCTAACACGGGTGACAGGAAAACCCTGGGGCCCTGTGGACATGTAGAAATTGCCAGTAACGTTGATGTAAAATCCTATCCTAGACCCAGGTGCTGGGTACTGTCTCAGTCACTCTGGGGTGATAAGCTAAAGGTCAAGTCTTTGTATTATCCAGGACTGGCTAGCTAGTCTTTTTAATTACTTGGAGATTGATTTTCGATCTATTACTAATATCGATATGTTATCTTTTACACCATTTACCTCCCTCTATTGATTTTAGTTAATTATTAATGTTTTTGCCAATGGCTTATTGAACTAAGTGTTTTAGAAGTGATTCACAATCAAGACAATCATCATAAGCAGGGCGAGGATGGCTGCTGTACCATACTTTGAATGCAGTGAAGCAGAACTCGGTATCCCCATGGATTCAAGTGTGGGTAGAAGATGTTGTAACTCAAGCTGAAATCCACTGATGAGGTACCTGCCCCTTGCAAGCTACTGCCCAGGGTTCCTGGGTGCTCAGGCCTACAATCCCTTGAACCCCACCACAGTGTAGTCACCATTGCAGGGTGCACCGAGAGAGAGGGTGTGTAGGCCTAACTTCAAGACAGTGCCAGAGTGGAACACTGGTGGAAACTAAACCCCACTTAAGTAACCAGCAAGGAGAGGTGGGACCGGGGCTTGTTTTCTTATTCTTCCTACGGTTGCATAGGCTTCAACATTTCCATCATAAAAAGTTAAATAGTGAAATGGAAAATGGCCCAGACCAGAGATGGAGGGTGTTCATGATCTTTTCTACAGAGGAACAGGTGTCTTGGGAAGTGTAGATACTTTGTTGACTGTTAGAGGATTTGGCTGGCCTTTGTTCCTGGATTGGGAGTGTGTGTGTATGTGGGGGGGTGTTAAGTCCTTGGAATTTCCTGAGAGGGTGCAGTGTCGTTATTTGTCTGCCTTGTGGGTCACAGTGGAATTTTTGTCAAGAGAGGGGATGACCCAGGATGGCAGCTGGCCAATGTAAAGACCAGCTTGGTGATTGGTTAGAAGGCTGAGGCACTGAACCCGAAGGACGCCTGTAGGGAGAAGAGAACTGGGGACTGGGGTCAGCGGGAGACCTCTGTGAATCCTGCCTGTAAACGATGGTTCAAATCCAGACCTAGTGCAACTTCTCTGCAGATGAACACACACTTGGCTGCATGGCCACACTCGTGTCCTGTGACGGCAGGACAAGGAGGATCTGTGCTCCAGACCTTGCCCTGTTTGTGCTTCTATGGGATTGCTTCTGATTATTTTCATTTTAATAAAGTTCAAATCATAAAGACAATACTGTCCTGCGTTCTGTGAATTCTAGCAAATGACCAAACCTTAGGCAGGTCACAGCCACTCCCAGGATTTGCCGTTAGTCAGCCGTGTGTGGCGCCTAAGGTCACCAAAGTGATGCTGGTGTCTGAGGCCAGGCAAGGAGGGGTGGGGGAACTGTGTCCCTTGACTTGGGGCGCCACATGTAGCTCTTGGTGGCTGGCACGGCCCCTGATGCAGTACAGCATTGCTGTTGGAACAGAGGTGATGAACCTGCAGGCTTTGATTAAGTCCCACTGGGGAGCTGTCTCATCAAAGCACACATTCTTTTGACAAACTATGTCATTTTGGATTTCTTTCATCACTTACCCTGGGAATACCCACAATGTCAGTCAGAGGCTCTTCGGAGATGCCACTTTGTCCCCAAACGCTGCCGTTCAGCTAAAAGTCAGAATGGCAGTTCAGTTCAGGCGAGCCATGCATGGGAGTGTGGGGATGTGTTGTGTGAGGACAGGTGCCCCTTGCAGTCCAGAAGAGGGCTGAAGTGATTATGAGTCCCACTACCCAGGTGCTGGGAAGAGGAGATGAAGTTTAACCACTGAGCTAGCTCTCCAGCCCCAAAGTCAAAGTGGTTTCTGTTGGCAACAGAATTTCATTTAACTCAGGCTTGATTGACGTGAAGCAGAGTGAGTGAGTGACCTTCAATTCCCGATCCTCCTGCCTCCACCCCCCCAACCACTGGGAACAATTTTGAAGCGGCCTGGGATCTAGTGGAGTGACCCCTGGCCGAAACTGTGTAATGGTGGAAATAAGCCTATGTTAACATGAATGTTGAAGCTAGCCTTACTCCACCTGGGAACACAGAGGAAGGAGAAGGAGAAGGCTTGCAGCTGGGCATGGGACAGCCAAGCTGATCTGATGATAAGAGAAAGAACAGGGAAAACAGTCAGGCTGGGCTTGGCAGACTCCCAACTGCCTGCGGAAGCCCCACAAGCAGCAAGGCACTTTTGCCCTTATTCTCCTAAGACGCGGAATTGCGACAGACAACTGTGTGTGAGAACATCTTCTGAGAAAACCCCCACCTATCCCAGGAAGACCATTCTAGAGAGGAGATTAGAGAAAACGAAGGAATACTACAGCCACTTCTTGAGACCTGTATCCCCTGATGGTCAGAATGGCCCTTGGTGGTTAAATATCCCTGCAGTCATAGATAGGGGTTCAGCACTGTTACATCATTTACATTGGGGTTTTGATACCCATCCCCTTCTGTAGAGATAGATCATGGGGAGAAATTCCCTCGAAAGGGAGATCTGGTTCACCATAATTTCAGACAGGAAAGAGGCTACCATGAGTATGCTACCCACCTCATGAATATTCAGAAACAAACAGCTTCTTTTTTTTTTCTTTTTTCTTTTTCTTTTTTGGTTTTATGAGACAGGCTTTCTCTGTATTGTTTTGGAGGCTGTTGGTCCAGCCCAGCCTCGAACTCACAGAGATCCGCCTGCCTCTGCCTCCCGAGTGCTGGGATTAAAGGCGTGCGCCACCAACGCCCGGCAACAAACAGCTTCTTTAAAGGGCTGGCAAGATGGCTCAGAGGGTGAATAAAGGTACTTGCTTTCAAGCCTAAATCACCTGAGTCTAATCCCTGGGACCCATGGGGCGGAAGGAGAGAACTGCTTCCTGCAAGTTTGTCCTCTGACCTCCACATGTGAACTCATGCACAAACTGAATGAATAAATGTCAAAAATTCTTCTTTAAAACCCTCAACACTGAACAGACTAAGCTGCTTCCACGTCACCCCCCCCCTACACACACACAGGATTTCTCTGTGTGGTTTTGTAGATCAGATGGCCTTGAACTCACAGACTCCACCTGCTGAGTGATGGGATTAAAGGAATGCTCCACCACTGCCCTGCTTCTGAGTCTTTGGGCAGCTCACTCCAGGCTGTCCTTGGAGTATTTGCTTAGCTTAGCTTTGTTTTCACTATGTCGTTCACAGGTTGAAAGAGCTTGCAGAAAACCAGAGTTCAATTCTAGCACCCACAGGGGTCACAACCAATATCTTCAGTTCCAGGGACCCAAGTGTCTACTGTATAAATACATGATGCACATAAAACACCAGGTATCCTCACATACACATAAAACAATAAGTCAAGGCATGTGCCACCACAATCCAGTCACAAAGCCCATCTTTTAAAAAAATGTTTCTACTGTAAAATTAGATATACCTTGGCTGGGCATTGGTGGCACACGCCTTTGATTCCAGCACTTGGCAGGCAGAGGCAGGCAGATCTATGTGAGTTCGAGGCTAGCCTGGTGTACAGGGGAAGTGCCAGGAGAGGCTCCAAAGCTATACATAGAGCCTGGTCTAGAAAAAAATTTAAATATACCTTTCACAGGCTACATGAATCACTCCTATAGCAGAGGCTTTTCGTTAATCCTTAATATTTTGTGTGTGCCTGTGGGTTGTGAGTGTGTGTTAATGTATGGGGGATGGAGAGATGGCTCAGTGGTTAAGAGCACTTGACTGCTCTTCCAGAGGTCCTGAGTTCAGTTCGTAGCAACCACATTGGGGACCCACAAACACCTGTAATGGGATCAGATTCCTTCTGGTGTTCATGAAGACATGAAGGCAGGTGATAATGAATTCACCAGACCCGAGGCAAATGATAAATGGATATTTATTGGGGACACTTACACAGATAATAATAAAGAACCACCACAGCGTTTCTCTGTCCTGATCTGATTGGAGACCCAAGAGAGAGACACTTTTCCTCTTTCTGCTTCTGCCTGCACCTGAAGTCATGCGCAAGTGGGTGTGGCTGCTGTTACAGGTTCACAGGCAAGATGCCACTACAATTCTCCTTATAGTCTAAAGATGAAGGTTTTAAGCCTGATGCAAAAACTATATACAATGAGAACAAATGTCGAGTATATTCTAGGAAAAGGAAAGGTAAACACACACAAATTAAAACCTGTTCCCAGTGAGAACAACATTGAGCGATAGACACATACTACAAAGACATATCACTCCTATACATAAAGTACATGAATAAATAAATCTTTAAAAAAACGTAAGAAAAAAAAGCTTTTAAGCACAGGCATCAGTAGAGAGAGGGTGCCCTGAAAAGAACAGTACACACCTGGGTATGAGCATCTCCAGAGAGACCTGTGCCTCCGTGTCAACAGTAGCCAGGTGTATGTTTTTGGTGGTTTCAGCAGTTAGATTGTTCGAAGTGTCTCTAAGGAACCTGTTAAATTTAGTAGGTCAGAGCCTAGGGAAATCCTGAAGTACACTGGGCAGGATTACAAGGAATAAGGCAAAGCAGTAAGTCAGTCACAGCAAGGGACTTGCTGTGGGTATCGCCAGGCATTGGAAACAAAGCTTATGAGAATCTAAGGAAGTTAAGTGATAACTTTACAGATCAAAACTTGCTGGGATCTGGTGGGGGCGGCGCTCGACTTTAATCCTAACACAAGGGAGGCCAACTCTGTGAGTTCGATGCCAGCCTCGTTTAAAGAGTGGGTTCTAGGAGAGTCAGGGCTACACAGAGAAACCCTGTTTCAAAAACAGAAAAATGCCAGGAGGGCCAGTGAGATGGATCAGTGGGTTACAGTGCTGGCTGCCAAGCTTGCCCCCCTCTTTAGGTCCCTGGGACCCACCTGGCTAGAGAGGATTGACTTCTGCAGGTCGTCTTCTGACTCCCATGCATGTGCCGTGACTCACATGCATCCACACTCATGTATACACACGCACGCACGCAGCCTTGACTGCTTAGCAAGAGCTGCCGAAAAGAAGACAGGTTGGGGGTGGGCGTGGGAGAGTGAGGAAGGGAGAGAGAGCGGGAGGAAGGGAGAGAGAGAAAAAGAGAGGGAGAGAGAGCTCACATGCAGGCAGACAAGAAAAACATGGGTGGGTGTAGTTCATTTAGCAGAGTGCCTGCCCAGCTAGAAAGAGGACTTGGATTCAGTCACCAGAAGATACAATATCATCCTTGGCTACATAATGAGTTAGAGGTTAGAGGCCAGCCTGGGCAACTTAAACCCTGTCTCAAAAAAAAAAATCTCAAACTTAATTTAAAGAAATCTGGTTTGTAAACAGGGTGGGAAGTAGAGGCAGGTGAATCTCTGTGAGTTCGAGACCAGCCTGGTCTACAAGGGCAAGGTCCAGGACAGCCTCCAAAGCCACAGAGAAACCCTGTCTTGAAAAACCAAAAAAATATGATTTGTAGCTAGACATCAGACCTCTCTTACCAGAACAAAGCATGTAGATAGACCCTATACGGGCATGCACACAAATAATGCACAGGCACACACACAATATTAGGGGTTAACGAAAAGCTTCTGCTATAGGAATCAATGGTGATATTTATGCGACCCATGAAAGATATGTTTAAGTTTACAATAGAAGCTTTTTTTTTTTTTGAAGATGGGCTTACGACTGGATGGTGGTGGCACATGACTCATGACTTTAATCCCAGCACCCGGGAGGCAGAGGCAGGTGAATCTCAGTCTTACTGAGTGAGTTCCAGAACAGCCAGGGCTACACAGAGAAACCCTGTCTTGAAAAAAAATAAACCAACGAGCATGGGCTTGCTGTGCACTTGTTATACCCTCAAACTCACTTATCTTCCTGCTTCAACTTCTCAAGTGCTGGGACAGTAGGTTCATGTCGTTTATAGTGGTTTGGATAAGAATGGCCCCCATAGGCTCATATATTTGAATAAACGTTTAGTCACTATTTGAAAGAGTAGGAAGATTAGGAGGTGTGGCCTTGTTGGAGGAAGTGTGTCACTGGGGGTGGGCTTTGAGGTTTCAAAAGTCCCCACCAGGCCCCAAGGCCATGCTCCCTATGCTTCCTTCCATGATGATAATGGAAACCTCTGAAACTATAAGCAAAGCCCCGTTCCCCCTATTAAATGCTTTCTGCTGTGAGAGTTGCCATGGCGACGGTGCCTCTTCACAGCAACAGAACTCTGACTAAGACACCATTCCAGTAGGCTAGCATAACTTTACTGGCAAAGT